TGGGCGTCTGCGATCAGGTATTGTCCAGGGAGCGGTAAATGAGAATGAGTACCTATTAATTCCTCTAATACTATAAACATTACTTTCTCTTTGGGCTCTGAATATATTCTGAAATAGTTTGGAGCAACGTTTATATGATTTAAAACGGGAAACACGATTTCGAAAGAGGTCCCGTCACGGATGCCAAAAGGAGAGATCATTTGTCACTTATCACAATCGCCACAACTTTCCTTCGTAGCATTGTATTTATGCCGGACGCTAAATAGTTTTAGGAAGTTCTCTCCTGAGCAAAGCTACCGAGGTCTTACAGTTTTTACTTGCTACACTTTCGAAAACCTCCTTGAATTAAATGAAGTCTAAAAAACCAAACATCATCTTATTGAAACACGGGGTTTAACTCCCTATCAAAATTATTCGTATTCCTCGTTTTGTGTTTAGCTCATGTTATTTTAGAAAATGGAATTTCATCTATGTGACCCTGTCTTAGACCGTTTTACTGAAAATTACTGTAACACTGTTTTGATAAATATGATAATGCATTTGTCACTGAACGAATATTTATCAAGGTTCATGTTACTTAAGTACGTTTTCGTGCTGTTGTAATTATATCCTCGTAGATTTAAAGGTAACATGACTTTCAATTTCTTCCAAGAATTACGTCATTTACTTGCTATTATCTGATGGTCATATGACATAAATCTAAACATTCTCTCTGTCTCCTTTCAGACTTATTCAAATCATTTTGGTATCATACAACCTTTTTCCTTGATAGCAGCTAATGAAATGAGTAATATGCCACAAAAATTGTTTTCAATTTTTCGGTCAATGATAGAAGGATTTCGTTTTAACTGTTAGAAGTAATGAACAAATAGAATAAACAGCTGATGAACTTGATTTTCCTTCCTCGTGTGATTCAACATAAAATTTCTCCACGCAGCAGCTTCTCATACAGAAAAAGAAACTATAAAATAACTATTAACCGAACAGATTTCTGACAATAAAATGCAACGCCGTTAATACTCCTCTTTCCCTTAAAATAGAACAATTGTATTTGCTGATGATATCAAATCAGTTTCCAAACAGTCTTATGAGTTTCTTATCCCTCATCGAAACTGAATGGAACCTTGAAAGGATAAAGAGACCCAGGGAGAAAAGCGGTAGTTTCCCAGTACAAACGGTCCTTACGGATCGTATGGCAAAATACGGACCAAGCAAGAACCAATCAGAACGCTCGGATTTGCCTTAAGACTTGCTTCTCATATAATAAGATATATCATTAACAAAGGTTTAGTTTGTATTCGAGCCAAGTGGCCCATGTAGCCGGAGTTTACGGTGGCCCATACAGCCGGAGTTTATCCCGGTTTCCGCGTAGCATGAGGCAACAAGAAAAGTTATTATTCCCCCCTGGATGGGATGCCAGTCCATCACGAGGTTACAAGGTAACTCCCCAACATTTCATTTCATTTTTGATCAAAAAAACTCTTGGGTGGACAGAAGCATTGTGAGAGTAAAGTGTTTCGCCTCGGAGCACAACACAGTGATACCGCAAGGCTGTAAACCTGGACTTTCCAACCTAGAATCCACCGCCCTAACCAGTGAGGTCAACATGTTTAATTGATCCAGTAAAATTACTTGGAATATAACGACTGCGGATTTAAAAACTTTATTGACGGTTTTGTGAAAACGGTTGACAAGGACGGCCATCAAGCATCACTTGAATTTGGATAAGGTTATAAATACATACAAATAAATACGCGGCATATACATAATATAATGATAAATAATGCAGCAGTTTTCAACAGCAGTTGCTACTCGATATAATTATAGTCATTGTGTTCCTGACAGACCCTGGTACATACACGAGTCCAAACGGTTTGGTTTTTAAGTATTCTATGGTGCACATGAACAGGCTGTGTTAAACGCCACTCCTTCCATTGTGACTATCTGAGACGGAACACATTTCCTCTGGTTGTTGTTGTTTGCCATCGAACTGACACATGCAGTTTTGTAAGACGTTACTGTCTTACAAATCGGAACAGATACCTTGTTGTTGCTTGGCAAAGTGAATGACACAACTCTGCCAGTGTAACAACTGGGCTCGTCACCAGGGGACCTCTTTTGTCTCCATGCGGCAGCACCCAGCTTGGACTGGACTCCGCCATCTTGAATTCTACGGACGATTTTGTTTAATGCAGATGCCCGGCAATTTCCATGGTGAAGATAAATTGCGAGGATAACGACGAGAACCTAAAACATCGAGATCCTTTGTCAACTTATTAACAACATTGTATAACACAATTGACATTGTTAAACTGCATCAGAACGAACACCATCAAAAAAGAAACATTTGTTGTTATTACATTGAGTAATCTTTATAAATAACTCAACTAGAAAAGATCAAAAAGTCTGCCATCTTGCCAGGTAAAACCATGTAAAATAAAATACCTAACTGAGGAATTAAAAATAAAGAAATGATTGAATTCTATAAAAACGTTTTACAATAGCCATGGTTAATTTTTTTACCTTGTAAACCTCCATAACTCAATTCCTTAGTATTTCTTGTTGACTTGTTCTTGCTTCTTTTCTCTCTGAAGTTGATTTTGATGCCGAGTGATGTTTCTCTCCTCTTTTATTCAGTTGAGTGTTCCTAATTTGGCGCTGAAGTAAATATCTAAAATCGGGAAACTACCGCTTTTTCTCCTCAGTATCTTCATCCGTTTTTCGATTCTGCTCAATGTTCCATCCTTTTCCCCGTTCTTTTAGTACAGTTTCGATGATGGATTAGCATTTCTTTTGATTGTCACTTGTAGAAATCTGTTTGGTTTATTGAATTACAGTACTCTTTCCTTTCCTACAACGTGAAGAAATTCTACGTTGAATCGCACGAAGAATGAAAGTCATGTCCACCCGCTGTTTAGCCTAATTTTTTTCATTAATTTGCAGTTCACGTGAAATCCTGTTATTCTTGGCTGAAAAATTGCAAAAAAACTGTTTTCATAGCATATTATTCTTGATATTTTATGAGCTACTATGAAGAGAAAAGGTTGTGTTTAATATCAAACTTATTTGAAGGAGTTTGACAAGAAACAGAGAGAACGTCTACCATTACATTATAAGACTATCAGATAATAACAGGTGAATGATAGAACGCTTGGAAGACGTTGGGAATAATGGTACCTCACGATCTTACGGGAAAATGATTACATCAGCACGAAAATGGACATGTGTAACATGAATCGTTGATTAAGATTCGTTCGGTGATAAAAAGCAGAATCAATGATATTTACCAAAATGGTGCTCTTATGATTTACAGTAAAACAGTGTCATATAGATGAAATGCCATTTTCTGAAATAGCATGAGCTGAATACGAAAAGGGAAAAGGAATCTTTTTGACGGGGAGCTAAACCACTAGTTTCAATAAGTTGAAGTTTGGTTTTTCAGACGTCATTAAAGCGGGTTTTCGAAAGTGTAGCAAGTAAAAGCTGGAAGACTTTGATAGTTTTGCCAATGATAGAACTCCCTAAGTGTCAAATATCAGACAGACGATTGTGATACATAACAAATGATCTCTTTTTTTGACATCCGTGACAGGACCTCTTTCGAAATTGTGTTTCCCCTTTTCAATCATTTAAACTGGTGTCTAAATTTATTTCAGAATATACTTGGGGTAATCAGTTTGTTTTAGAGGAACTCTTAGCCGCTTTCCCTAACGTACCACTCCTAGTACACCACTCAATCGCTAATGCGCATGTATTGCGCAGGGTGCAAGATTTTCCAGTTTCCTATCATTTTATAGAAATAAAAGGTAATTTTTTTGTTCCACTTATAATTAAACTTGTGTGGTATTTACGAAATAATACGATTAGCTATTACATATATGACGTCATCATTAACAATATTTTCTTATTACAATGCAAAACAAAAATATTTTATGTGGCCGGGATCTGCACAGTACTTGATGAAAGATGAGGCCAAAATGAGATAAGAACATCAGCAATTCACTCGGCTGTGCCTCGTGTGCCACTTTTTTGTTCTCGCCACATTTTGCCGTCATCTCCACGTGATCTATCATTGAACCGACGCAGGGCAACAGAATCTGTTTATTACACAGTTATTTATCTCAGTGTCGGTGGAAACGCTGCTGTTTTTTTAATTTTAACGTAAAGTTTGTTTCATGTTTCATATTTGCTCTATCTCTGCCACTTTATCATTGTTATCTTTTCGCTGTTAAAGATGTAGCGGCTTCATTACAGCACAGAGTACCGCGTGCTTTAACGTATCAAATTTCCAGTCGTGTTGTGCTACTGTTGTTGTTGTTGCTGTTTTTGTTTTTGTTTTTAGGGAAAATGGCGCATTTTAAATTGTAAAAGTTTATAGTTATAGAGATTTTAGAGGTTTTGTTAGTTTTCTCAACGTGTGTTGAAAGTTGTAAGCTGATATGTGGACGTATTGATGACAGGTTAAAAACCTTCACATCCTACATATATTCTAACGAAGTAACAATTCTTGCTCCCTTTCTTAATCTATGTAAATATCCCCGGATTCATCAGTTTTTGAAGCTGATTAGAGGCTGTTATTAAATTTTCAACTCCGAGTGTTGCATTTTGAGTGTTCTGGTTGGTTCACTCAACTCCGGTAATCAGCTCATATTCCAAGTCACGTTATATCGAAAAAAGAAACGTAAAACGAGCGAAACTCCCAGACAAAAATAGTTGAGACACTACTTCAGAAACACGACTATGAGGTTCTTTCACTCCTCTCTCCCCTCCAAGGTTATCAATAGCCAATGTTCCTGCGCCATCTTACAAACCAACAAGGAGAGGGGCAGGGGAGGCAGAGGGCCCCAACAAATGTGTCTAGGAGTGTGGGTCGTGTGGGTCGTGTGGGTTACTTCTGGCCATGCTCGCACCACGGCGTACGGCCTTCATATGAGAATTTTTTACCATGATTTTCATTAATATTGCACGTGCAGCTGTGAGCAATAAATATCAATATTTTCGTCTCAATTTTATTTAAATTCATCACTTGTATTCTTGCAGTTTGGAACTCTTGATATATATACAACCTACCGTATTTAGGCTTTCTTAAATGAAATAATTTCATTTGACCATTATTATAAAATTTCTTTGTAGGAAACCCTTTTTCATACTAAAAGTTTATCATCATCATCATTATCACGTATCCCACAAGCCCTTGTACTCAGAACCACCACCTTTCTGCCTGTATGTATGATGCACTGGTATCTCCTGGCCAAATTTACCATAAAGCTACAAATATTTGTATGGTCAACAATGTAAACCAGTTTAAACAGATGTCCTTCTATAAGATCCCATTGTCCATATCTTCCCTGGGTTTTGGTTTTTCTGTAGGATCCAGTCCGTGACTCTTCATCTGTACAGCAATGTCGCACAAGTAATCCAGACACTCACACCTGGGAAGAAGGATGTGGAAAAGTCCAAAAAGAGACAAATTAGGCAACATAAACAGTTTTCGTTTCTTGTACAACTGTTTTTTGACAAATATCCTCTTTGACTTAAGTGATACATTCATTCCTTAGAGGACTTTAAGTAGGTCATTTATTACTGAAAGAACCAGGCAACACAAAACACCCCAATTCTTCTTAAGAATAACTAAAATCCAAAGCCTTAGGAAGGCTTCACATGAAGGACTAAATTTGTAAATCCAAGAGAAGTTATTTGAAATAGAGAAGTAAGTAAACTGAGTTCAGACATTGAACCCTTTAAACTCCTAAAAGTGACTAGCATGTACTTTCTCCTACCAATATTACCCCTGGATTACACAATATGGTTAAAAGAATAAAGGAAATGATCACCAAGTACAAAAGGTCTTGATTGTTGCTCAAAATTCTTCTGGTGAGCATCTTGGGAAATGTATTGAGAACAGTATGGAGAATATGCATACTGATGTTAGGATGTAATGGATTAACAAACATGGCTAGTCAAACAACACACACACACAAAAAAAGACTGGTACTGATGGTGACAAATGAGGAATTTGCTTGGAGCATTCTAGGTTTTTATCTTAGTCTGTTTTAGTGACAAAAAGTTTTCCTAAAGTAAACCCTTCAGTCAGGAGAATAAACAGGTACTGACTGTACCTTTTTGCAGAATCTCTCTTAAGGCCATTGAGCAATACTGAGAGACACAACATGACAATCTCCTCAGCTGCACCAGAAACACTTATTAGACTGATATTATACATCACAATCTGTAAGTTATGATTCATCACACATATACCACTCACATTGTTTTTGCTTTCTGCCATGTATCTCCCCAGACATACACTCCATGTCGACGTACAAGGACTGCACAAGAGTCTGGATACTGCTCCATGGCCTTTGCCATACTTTCCTTTTGGGTGTAAAGACATACTGAATGAGTTGTCATTATAGTCAGAAATACCTATTACATCAAGCTGGAAAATTCATTTACCTAAATTCAATAGTGTGAGCACATTTCACACTGTCTCTTATTAAACATGCTGATTATGTCAGTGAATATAACGAAGCTTAGCACATTTATTATAAATGTTCTTCAACAAATCATTAACATTTCCTGTCAAAAATGCTATGAAACAATAGTGTCATGTGCCACCATCAAGATATAAAGCACTTGGAAAGTTTGGTGAGCATGTGAGACACTAGAATTACTTACAGCTGCACCTAGAGCAACTCTTACACAACTTTTGTGCTCTCCAATCCTCCTACTTCATAAATTATTTATAAATGCATACTAATGCATGCACCAATTAAACCAAAACAGATAAAATAAGTTCTGCCCTAAAGCTTTTGTGATATCAAATCATGACTTTACAGAGCTGTCTCAAAACCTTTGTCTTCAGTTGTTTAATTTTGAATAATCATATTAAATTTGTTACTAGGCATCAGTACTACACTCTAATGCAATAGTTTTTGGAGGTTAACCTGCCTTGCCTACACAGATCCCCATTTGACTTCAGGGTTCACTCCAAGTGTTGTACTTAAATTCAATGCTTTTTCGTGTATTACTAAACATTAATGAATTAACACTTATACCTAATACAAAACACCTTTTATGTGCTGGATACACACAAAAGTCAGTACAGATATTTCAATCCCTAAATCCTAGCATTGTACACCTTTAAGTCTCGTTCCTCTGGTGTGTTTTCAATTATAGGAACAACAAGCTCCTCATCATATCTAAAAAAAAAAAAAAGGAAAAAATGTTTGTCTGATTTCGGTTCACCTTTAATGAAATTTCAAGGAAGGGCTCTTCATCTATTATTAAAAAAGAACCACTTGTATCTCTTTCCCCTTGGAAATATTCCTGACAAAAACCTATTTTATAATAACATCCTTCCCTTAGAACTTTACTTTCCAGTTTTTTTTTCTCAGATGTGAAAAGATTCTCCCAATCTTCAATGACTCTCATAAAATTAATAATTATGTAACTTCACAGAAATATGACTTGAAAGAACCTCACCAAAAACAACATTTTAAAGAAACTGATTTCACATGCTCTTTCTTGAGGGTATAATGAATACCTTTTTCAAAATCCCACAAAGGTGGAAAAGTCAAACCTTTGGCATCTTTGACAGTGAGAAAAGACACCTTGAACTAATTCCTTTCAATAGCCAATGTTCCTGTGCCATCTTACAAACCAACAAGGAGAGGGGCAGGGGAGGCAGAGGGCCCCAACAAATGTGTCTAGGAGTGTGGGTCGTGTGGGTTATTTCTGGCCATGCTCGCACCACGGCGTACGGCCTTCATATGAGAATTTTTCACCATGATTTTCATTAATATTGCACGTGCAGCTGTGAGCAATAAATATCAATATTTTCGTCTCAATTTTATTTAAATTCATCACTTGTATTCCTCAGGAATAAGGTTACACTTAAACACTCTGCACCTTACCCCAACACTGTAATAAAACAAAACCTCCTCACTCACCTGTAATTCACACCTGTTGTACCTTTCTTCAACCCTTTAATCATTTCTTGATGAGTGATGCGGAATTCCTTTCCAGGGTAAAGTAGAGTGACCATGACACAGTGCTTGGAGTGCGAGTGAATCACTGCTCCAGCTCCTAACACAATAAACAAGCAACTGCTTTGAGGAAAGAACACTGAATTGCTCAAAGTAAGTTACAAGCTGGGATGGGAATTTTTGCAAATTTTAGCTATTGGCTGATCATGATTAAAAGGCTAATATCAGTCCCACTTGATATACTTACCATATATAAAATTCACTATCATAAGCTTATGTACCCATCACTGTCATCTTTCTTTGCTTATTGCTGTGAATTAAAGTCAACTTTTCCAGTTCACACAACTTTTATTATTATAATACTATTCAAAATGGCATACACTGCAAAAGTCAATTATTGGAAAAAATTTGCTGACAAATTCTGCACACAGGTGATCAGATTTGTCTCCATTGGCTACAAAATTTTCTGATGTGTCACTCACTTATTACTAAATAATAATAATGCACTGTAATAATACTCTGTATGTGGTTACCTCTCATTGTGAAGGCATTCATAAATAAAGGAGTACATTGGCTTTTCTTGAGTTTCTTCCTGTAATGTGTGATATAAATTAGAAAATACTCTAAGTTAGAAATAACAGATGACATAATAAATAAAGTACAGGTTAATTTCTCTATTCACATTTTTTTAAAGCAGATAAATGTTAAGGAATGTATTGAAATTATAATTACTCTGGAGGAGGAGAACAAAGCTCATTTTCATCCATGTCACACACAAACATGTCTTCAGGCTACAAGGAACAAAACATAAGAGAAAAAATCGAATTGTGTTGAGATGAATGTGTAAAGTCACAATTGGTATTTTCTCAATAGTTAAAGTTGTATATGAAACATAAAGAACAACAAAAAAGTATTTTTACGAGGTTGCAGACTGTATAATAAGGCCATTAGTATTAATAGAATTTTTTGTTCATTAAAGAGTGAAGGAAGAAATGAAAATAAATTTAAAAACAGCTCGGCAAAGCTTTTTTGCTCTGAAAGTATGAACTATTTACCTCTATCCTTTCCTTCTGCACCCCTGATGGTGCAATGAAGATTTCATTGCTGTCAAAACCAAAGAACAATGTCAAAAATTGTTTACAAATAAGAATTTTTCACGTGGAAATGTCATGAAGCCTATTTTTTAGCTAACTTGATGCTCTGAATATTCTTCGAGGAAAAGATAATTGCTTTAAAAGGTAATACACAAAACAACCTTCTAGAGACAAATTCCAAGGATAATAGGGGAGGAAGGGGAGAGGGTATTTGCTAGAATGTCTGATCATGCCAAATGATACACCTCAGGGTAAGGAACAGAAATATGGGCTGCTGTAAAGTACAACTCATGCCCTGATCACAAGGCAAATACAACTAAGCCTTTTTTCTCTCCATTCACTACTGTCAACATATTGGACACAAGAATTTTGACACAAACAAGGCTGCTTCTAAAGTCCTCTGAAACATCTTCTGTGAAAGATGTGTGAAAGGGTTTTTAAATTAATTGTAATTTTGGATTTATAAAAGTCTAGAAATGGCAAATATGGACTAGGGAAGTGCTGTGGAGAACAACAAACTATTTTGTCCATATACTACTCATTCCTGGCTTAATCCTCAACATCACCAATTTACCTAAGTACATTATGATTAGAATATTTACCACCTACACATCAGAAATTATCATATGACCAATACTGCCCCACTTGCACAATCCCATAGAAAACCATTGTAAAAGCTGACTGTCTAGGGCCAGGTCTCAAAAACAGGTGTCAAGCCCAGTACTTACTCCACTTTGTTGCAAAGTAGGAAAATAGGAAAGAGTAAAAAGAAATTCCTACAGTTTTAGATGAATTGTGAGTTTAATGTCCAGACTCAAAAAAAGTAAGGAAATGTTTTTATCAAGGAATCACATCCAATCCTATTTTAATTTTCAACAGTTAGTGGTCATAAGATAAAATGCTTATTGACTGAGTTTGGTCAGGCTGGAGGGAAAATATTTGGCTCTCCGTCATGACACAGAGTCCTTGCTGCACTTGGTCTGTACATGGTCAATAAGTACATAATATATCTGGTGTACAGGCTGGTAAGTTACAAAAACAAAGGAAGGGTGTATAAAAAAATGTCAAAAATACCATAAGAGCAATAATACAAACAAACCCATATTTGATGCTGATCCCTCCTCCAGTTCCTGTAACCCAATCCAGGTGATAAAACTGCTTGCATAGCTCAGGAATAAGATATCTTGGATGTTCAGGATCCCTGTCAAGTTTTGTCACCTGTTTTCAGACATTTTAAGGCACTATTTAAAGATTGATCAATTTAATATTTTTCTTTCATAGCAGTGAGAAAGATGAAGAGTGTTTCAAAAATCTGTTCAGTGTAGAGCACCTTCTATAAATGGAAATCCGCATGAAAAAATATTTGAGGGCCTTTTTCCACAAGGAGAACAGAACAAGAGTTTCCAAACAACGAGCTAAAGGCAAGCGAGTTACAAACTTGTCCTATGTTCTCCCAACAACTAAGAGGGTTATTACCATAACGCTGATAAACCAGTAGAAAGTGTGGTCTACTGCTTTTGTAAAATAAACTTACCTGATGTTTCAATTTCCATGGGTTTAATGATCCAATCCGGACACTAGTAGTATTAATGATTTTTCAAAATCAATTTTGTCTACAATAAATTTCTAAGTTCGATCAATTGGAACTTTTCCACGTTTTCCTTAGTATCGATTGGTGGTTGTTCTCGAGCTCTGCGATGCCGAACCTGAGTACGTGATTGTTACAACATAATTTAGCGACTCACTTATTTTCCCTTGGACCAACTTGTTATACAGTAATGTAATTACAGTTTGGAACCCTTTAAAAACAAAAATTTAGTAGATTCGTGTCACGGACACTCAGCTGGCATTTACACAAACCAAAGTACCATATCCTCTGTGAGTTAAATCACCAATAAATGCGATAAATTGAATTTTTACGATGGATTAAGTCAAAATATTCTTTTACCTTCGAGTATTCCGCTGAAAATTCGTCCAAACTCGATCTCTTCGCCATGGTCACAATGCCCACGATTTGCATTCAACGATAGAAAATTTGCTGCCGCTTTTAAGTTTGCCCCAGGGCCCCTCTGGTTTAACTCTGTGCGCGGGAAAAAGCGCTTTTTTCCGCGCCATTTTTAACTCGTGAATTGCGCGCATGCGCAAGAGTGAGTTGTAGATACGATGTGGGGAACGGCATGCGGTTGCTCGCTCACTCGCTCGGTCGATTCTTGTATACTTTTTTTCGATTTTAGGCTTTTGAGTGCATTTGACAGTTTTTGGCGAGCAATAAACAAACGAAATGGCGACCTTTGTTGCTAAGAATAGTGGTGGGGTGACAAAGAAGCCAATGATAATCTTAAAAGAGTTTTTTTTTTCGTTTTAGTTTCAACAAGCGGCGCCAGCGACTGGCAGGCATTCAAGAATTCACACTGAAATAACGGAACAACCTTAGTTTTTCATAAAATTGTAATTTACAATCCTTGAACTTGAAAACAATCCGAAGATTCATTGAAAATATCACTTACTGCGAAGCGCTCGGAGTTTACAGATGTTCAAAAGCTTTTTCTGTTACGGCGTGAGATTAAGGACAAAATCGATCATTACGTGTCGTATCGTGTTTTTTTCCTGCGTGAAGCAACAGAAGATGCCGGCGACTAACGAAATTACAAGTTAACACGAAAATCAAATAACACCTAAACAAACAATTTTAGCTACCAATTTTCAGTGAATTTTTAAAGAACAATTTTCTCTAACGTTTCAAGACAATTTGATGATTCAAAATACATATTACGTACTAAAATGCGAAAGTTACACACCTCAAAGTCGATAAATAGACCTGAAACGAAATTCTATCTTGTTATTGATTATACGTTACCTAGCACGTGACTAAAATCTACCCAGGCGGAGATCCAAAATGACGGTGGCAGTCTTGGCTTAGTTATATCACTCAAAACTCATTCCCGTTTGTCTCATTTGATAAAGAGGGAATCGTTAATATTCTCATTAAGACAGTATTGCCTTGATTTTCTAATATTTATAATGATAGACAGTAAATTTCACTTTTCACCCACATTTACTTCCAACCTTTTCTTTTGAACCAGAAAGAGAAATGATATACGCTTAAAACACATGACATCATCCACCCTTGTCAAATGCAATAGCATGATCATTTCAATTGTAATGCCTTCTTATCCCAACGTTACTTTGTTTCTTTGCTACATTAGCGAACACTGAACTACTGCTCGTACTCTAGATATGACAATCAACCACAAAATTCCCTAAACCAGATAACATTAAACATAATCCAAAAAATCGTGTGTCAATTCCCGAGTTTGCTCACAGAGCACTTTGATTCTTGAGCCATATTAAAGTAACTAAAGCGACCAACTTAGCAACCATATATGGACATTATTCCTCAGCATTCCTTAGGATAAACTTCAGCTCTCTTCTCATTAAACTGCTTTCAAAGAAAGTATGCAAGTATCCTGGTGATCGCATCGACAAAACAGAAGTAAGGCCAGAAGTAGTCTCGAACCCAGAATCTACCGTGAAACTGTAACTGAAATCGCCGTAAAAGGTCTGGGTACGAGACTATGTCTGAAGCGAAAATGTAGCGAGAAGAGTTAGGAACGATCCTTTAAAAAAGTCCTGTACGATTATTTTTCATCGATGAAAGGGATTTTCTCTTAAACATTGTCAAACGGCACTACAGTAAAAAATTGGAGACGATTAAGAGTAGGAACATATCAATTTCAAAGAATTTATTAATCTAGTGTATAACATTTTTGTTATTCACTCGTATACTAAATAAAAATACGCGAGCAATCAGTATAATTTAGACTTTCATTACAGTTTCACCGGACAGAATTCAAGTGAAATAAATCTGAATAAATTTAAATCAATAATAACTTATAAATGACGACAAAAATCTTTCTAGATGTCGTTTTCCTCAAAAGTTACGTTGGTGAAGCTCAGCTTCATACAAACTTACAAATATTAATACTCTCTGATAAATATAAAAAATCACTAAAAGTAAAAATATAACTTTCGGTGGTCGAAACAAATGATGGGTTTCCTGTGTTCCTGACACACTGTAGAGTTGGAAAGTCTTTGGTTTTAGCTTTTCTATGGTGCACATGAACAGGCTGTACTAAACGCCACCCCTTCCATCGACTTTATATGGGATGGAACACATTTCCTTTGGTTGTTGTTGTTTGCCATCGAACTGACACATGCTGTTTTGTAAGACGTAATTGCCTTGCAAATGGGAACAGTAACTGTTCTGTTGCTTGGCAAGGTGAGTGACGCATGTGTACCAGTGTAACAACTGGGCTCGTCACCAGGGGACCTTTTCTGTCTCCATGCGGCAGCACCTAGCGTGGACGGATCTCCGCCATCTTCGATTCTATGCCCGATTTTGTTTAATGCAATTGCCCGACCATTTCCAAAATGAAGAAAAATTGCCAGGAAAATAGCAAGAACCTAGAAAATAGCAGCTCCGTCAATTCACTATTAGCAATATATATTATGGTGATATTCACGATTAAATTGCATCTTAATAGAGATCTCAATTTTTTCTGCCTTTTAAATAAGTCAACAAGAAAAAGGCAGCTCCTCTGTCTTATCGCCGAGTAAAACTCTTTGACGGAGGAATAAAATAGAAAAATGAAAGGGATTCTACAAACACGTTTGAAAATATCTAGGACCTTCATTGTTTTACCTTATAAACTTCCATGACTCAATTTCTTGTTATTTCTTGTTGGTATCGGCGAGAAGTCTTCAAAACTTGTTGCTCTGTTTCTTTTCTTCTTTGAAGTCGATTTTGATGCCGATAAATCTTTTTCTCTTCTTAAATACAATTTTGAGTGCTCCTAGTTTGGCGCTGAAGTAAATATCTAAAATTGGGTAACTACCGCTTTCCCTAAAAAATTACCCCATCCGTTTTTTTCTGTTCCCCTCGGTGTTCCGTTCTCATTCATGTTGTTTTAGTGCAGTTTCAATGATAAATCATGATTTCTTTGATCGATCCTACAACTAAATTTAAAAATGCCTTTTGAGAAATCTATAACTGAACTGCGTTGGTAAACAGATCTGAAAGGATAAGAAAATAAAATAGTTCTGTTTTAAGACAGACGAGTGTCACCAGCCACATCTTACATAACCCAAATCGAAGGAGGTTTTTTTTGTCACAAACGTCTGGTTTAATTTATAAATACAATTCAATATTTCTTTAACTCCTTAAGCGGTCTCTGTGTGGAGAGAGTTTACGTCAGATCAAACGGGGAATATCAAAAATTTAAAATTACTTTCAGACGTTGTTTTTCTGTTTGTTCATTCATTTGAACAGTACGTAAAAATTCCTGCCGATTATGACTGAGACCTTGAACTGAAAAGCAATTTTCATAGCTAATCACTTTGAATATTTTATTAGCTACCACTGATGGAGAAAGGTTGTCTGATGCCAAATTAAAAACATGTATGAAATAGCTACACTGTATACTACCACGTCATATTATTACCAGATGATAGCAAGTGCATGATGGCAAATGTAGTCGAAGGCAAGCAATCATAGCTACCTTGGGGAAATCATTCCAACAGCACGAAAATGGGCTTATGTAACATAAATCTTTGATTACAAAAAAAGGCTTTCAATATTAAAATGTAACGTCATATCAAAGTGGTGCTTTTATTATTTATAGCTTAACAGTCTCAGCAGACGAGACTGTCCAACTGCTCAAAGAGATAACATAAGCTGCAAATACGACATTAAAGATAAGCATTATTTTGACTGAATGCATAACGTTGTATTTCGATAAAAGGAAATCTTCGGGTTTTCATTTTTTACGTCATTGAAAGAGGTTTTCGAAACCGTGCCAACTAAAAACTGGGAGACATTGCTAGTTTTAGCAAAGAAAAACTTCCCAAAAGGGATAAATGTCAGACATAAGATACGATACTTAGATAAAAAGTTGTGATATGATTGTGATCCGTAAGAAATGATCTCTCCTTCTAGTATCCGTGACAGAATCTAATTCGAAAGTCCTCAATGAGTTATTTCTAAAACTGTACCAGAACATTCTCGGATGCTTTCTAGTGGATACCAATGTTTATTTAGTGGGATCTGAAAACCACCTTGCGAGGAACCATGCATCCTCAATGCAATTTTTTTTTAGCTTTAATTAATAGTTACTATCGCGACAAAAAGAAATTTAGTGAGGGAAAAATTAAGCAATGGACCACACTTTCTACCGTTTTAGTTGCTTAATAACCCACTTGGGATGTTGGGAGAACACGAGAAACGTTTGGAGGCGAGTGATCCACAAACTTTTCTTGTGTTCTTCCAACATCCTAAGTGGATTATTAAGTGAGTAAACCGATAGAATGTGCCGCCTATTGCATTTATAAAATGGACTCCAATTTTCCATGGGTTTACTGATGCTATAAAAGATAGGTTTTTGACCAGTCAGGGTGATCGTATTCTCTCATATATTTAAAAATGCGTACGGATGTCTTAAGTAAACTTGGCGGGCTGTGATAATAAGTTCCGGTAATATGGATCAATAATTATCCAAGTTTCGGTATGGCATCATTACTCTCTTGAATTAGGATATTCATGTCAAATTGCGGACATTATTTCACGCTCTTCTTTTATCTTAAAAGTATTCCGATGAAAAGTTTATCTATTAGATCTGCAGGTGTGTTAGGATCTATAAGAAATGAAGAAAAAGGCCGTGTCTGCATGTAGTTACTGATTTATCTATTACATAATTCACCAATAAAAAAGGTTTTTTTAGTTAGGTAAAGAGGAATAAACGAACAGGTCTAATCAATGCAGAGATTGTGGCAAAAAAAAAGACTTTAAGAGCAGACTTTAATTTGTTGGTAATATTAACTGAGAACGGGGAGTGATCTAATAAATTAGAAGTTGTACAGTTATCAGTTGACAGATCAGGAAATTAAAAGAAATAGAATGGATAGTCTGAGTTAATGTTCATTAACCGCATGGAATAAGGACGACCATTTGACACACACTTCAACACGCTGCCCTAACAGTTAAGCAAATCTTTCTCCGAAGATTTAGGGTCGGATGAGAGACTTAAACACAGGTCAATAGAGCGGAAAACGCTGTGTGAGAAAAAATCGGCCAAAAAAACTGACTTTCAAAAAGGTTCCGTTTATAGATCTCATAAAATTCTGGATGGATGGTTTTTAAGGTGGATGTGTGGTACCTCACCTATATAGGTAAAGAGCAAACATTCGTCCCTGAATTTTCGTCAAACATTCCATTGATGATAAATAGTTCGGGGTAATTTTCTTCCAAACAAAATTGTTAAAAGTCATTGAATGCGTTTCCAATCGTCATTATACTTCTCGCTCGGACAAACATTCCGGTTGGGTCATTCTCATCTCACCCTTAGGTTCAATTCTTTTGAGCACAGATTAAATTCCTTCTGGAAGATTCATGTCCCTTCAAAGGAGAATTTAGAGGTTCAGATTCTTCGTTCCCAAGCTGTGGATGTTCTTCCAAGGTTAAGAGTTCCTTTAAGAAGAAACTCGTATATTTCAGATTCTTATCGGATGAATACTTATTTTTCCCCATAGAAAACAAAATTCTTTTGACGAGAACCAGTCAATAAGGTATTCTTCTGAGAAGAAACACTGCTCACCTCTCAAGATATAATATTCATTTACGCAGAATCTCATATTTTGAGCGAGCTTGTCAAGCTGATAATTGCTCTTCTTCCGTAAAGTCCTACTATTTGGTTGAGAAGAATGTCAGTTTTCGATTCTTTTGAAAATGATTTTTGTCCTTCACCCAAGAGTAAACATTCGATTTGCAAATTGATCGTAAATATTGTCTTCTTCTTCAGCGACTCAGTTTGCGTTTGTGAAGACTCGTATTCAAACGGGTTCTAACTGGAAAAATCTTGGTGCTTTTCTGACGACTGATTATTTCGTTGAGCAAAATCTCATTTTTTTAAAGGGTTTTATTGAATATCCTGGAAAATCTCCTTAGACCGCAAAAATATCTGAAAGAATTTTGGCAAACAAATACTTGTCAAATTCGTTCAGAGCGGTCTCTGGTTACAGACGCAAAATTGTTGACCAGCATGTTAAAAGAAAGAATCTGACTCTAACTAAGAAATATCGTCCACTCCCACAAGGTAGAAAGCGGCTCATGTAAAAATGTTTGCCTCTTACGTTGAAACCTATGACAAGTCCTGACGCAGAGGCGAGACCCCGAACATATATCGAACCTAACCCGAGAAAGCCAAAAATGAACCCGAAGAAACTCGATCAGATTCGTTTAACGACCGCTTGAGTCGGAAATGAACCAAATCGGAGATGAAATACCGTCACCAACGACCCTTGAGTTCTTTGCAGAGGGACAGGTAGCCAGAGAATCGTGACGCCATTGGGGGATTATCTGAGGCAATGAATGAGACTTGCTTATCAGATTTTATAATAAAGTTCGGATATAACACGCGCTGTCATTGGTTGAAAGAGCATGCTCTATGAGAGTAAAGAGCATAGAAGTGAGCTAAAGCTGTCACGCCATCTGCCAAATTGTACCATGTTCGACCTTTCTGGGACTTCTTTTTAGCTTTTTTCCGATAATTGAAAGCAAAATTTCGGAACAAGCGAGCCGGCAAGTAGCAACAGAAGAACCAAACAAAGGCGAGTTTTGCGGCGCTGTCATCCCGAGCGATCTTCATGTTCCGGTGAATTCGGCTGTAGTTCATTTAAAAAACACTCGCCTTGAACAGTTTGTTTTCTACCTTATAATGTGAAAAAACTCGCGTGTTTTTTATGAGCCATAATTCGGCTGAAGTTCACTGAACATTTCACTTGAAGATTCTGTATTAAAAACTTCAGGCAAAAGAGTTAAAATCGACCTGCCGAACTATTTCAGTTTGTAGACTATCGCAGATTGTGAACTTTGATGGTTTTTTAACTTTGATGGTTTGACACTTTTGACAGCTTTTGTCTTGTAGAGCCAATTAGATTATTCGAACCATTCTAACAGGGATTCTGATTGGCCTATTGTAGCGTGCTCTATGAGAGTATAGAGCATGCTGACGACATTGTTGTTCGCTTTGGAAATAAAGTTTGTTTTGAAAATTGGAAGTAATGCATGGGGAATTTGACGGATTCTTTATTATAAAACAAATAGAGAAGCCTTGACTGTGTTCTGTTCTGTTATAAAGCACTTAGGAAGCGGCTAGAGCACTCAAGAAGTGGGGAGAAACACTCGACTACGTCTCGTGTTTCTCCCTACACTTCTTTGGTGCTCTAGCCGCTTCCTGCGTGCTTTATAACAGAACAGAGCACAGTCAAGGCTTCTCTATTTGTTAAATAAAGGCTTCTAGTCGATTTCGATCGGTTGCGTCAATCTCGGACAAAAATAACTTGACAGGTGCATACCGGATTTATAAGTGTGAAAATTTCAGGTCGTTGCCTGTACCGTAAGATGCCAGACTAGTTACAAGCGTGCATGCTTTCATCACCATTAGACTTGAAGATTTAGAATTCAAGCCAGTTGAGACGGTTAGGAATAAAAATTACCAATGACAAATGGTTCACGGTTTACGTTTATATACTCGGAGACATACTAGTGTGGATGGCATAAACGCATATAATAGTTTGTAAATGCAAATCCGTCATTTCCGTCAAACGACTTTCTTAACACGTCAACCCTTGTGAGTGACTAGCATCTAAATTCTCCCTACAATGTCATCCCTGAAACACACATAAAGGTCTTGAGAATAAAGGAAATGATCACCAACTGAAGAAGCTCTTGATGGTTTAACATATTCTCCTTGTCAGCACTTTAGGAAATGTATAGAGAACAGTATGGAGAATATGCACATTGATATGAGGGCGTAAAGGATTGAGATAAACCTTCCCTTGCACCTGCTTACCCATACTTGTAATTTGGAAAAAATTTTTACGGATTTTGATAGAAATATATTGGATATCGTTGCTTTCCTAATTGCATACACGTTTTGATGTAATGGAAACAAAAATAATGAGTCAGAACCGAGTTATCGTAATCCTGGAACAGTACGTCGTGTTCAAAGTCAAACAATTCCCCATTAGATCACCAACCGTACTATTATAAAAACTCGGTCAGGTGCAGTTGATTACAGAAAGATCTAGAACATTTAGAGAGACGTATTCTTTTATCTGCTAAAAGCCTTCCTTCAGATAGACCTTTTTTTTTTCCCTGCACCTGCTCACTGACACTCATAATTCTAAAAAAGAGAGAGGTTTTAATTGAATGTTTTGAATTCTGCTTCCAAAATTATGTTAATAGCATGTACGTCTTGAGATTAGGGAAAAAAAACTCAAAGGAGAAATCAACTCCGAGTAGGCTCGGTCATTTTCATAATCACATACTTCCCAACACTTTCAAGAAGTGCTTTCACCGATAAATTTATTGTTAGCTTCAACCAAACATAGAAACACCACGAACATAACTTGTTCGTGATAATTCCAAGGAATTCATCTTGGTGTTAATTAAACAAAACGCTCGAATGACTAAATTGTCTGACTGCCTTAAAGACAGACAATAGAAAATTTACTTTACAAGAAATGCAGTTTGTTTCAAAATCCCAAATTTGGCAGTTTTAGTTAATTAACAGCGTTTTAGAACAAGCTACCATAAGGATTATTGATGACTCCTTTTCGCTGCAGGTATCATGTTTAAATATTTATGTTTTGTGACAACAATTTATCACAACATTTGCACTTTGGCCTCAATCCATTTATTTTCACGCTTGCATAAAATTACACTTATGTTTGCTACGAGTTTTTGAAATAAGTCTCAATTAGCACCCTTGTGCTGTCGGTGGCATGTCGACGAGTCAATAACAAATGGAGTAACTGCATAAAAGGACTTTTTTCTTTGAGTTTGAGGTGTTTTTTCCTAGGACGTCCAAGGTATACTTCCCTTTGTCTGGAAGCTGGCAGTAAATAATTTCTCTTTCATCGCATCTCTCCTTGCTCAAACACGACTTTTCTTGAGTTTCCCCGTTTCCGGCGTTTATCAGACGAACAATCAGTTTGATAGCGTTTGGATTAATGAATGTGATAGCCACGGACCCGTCATACACAGTAATATTCTGTCGGTGACTCTCCAGTCGAAGACCCCATTCCCGAAACTCATCCGAGACGCGCGGAAACCCCGGGTTCTCCCCGAATGCCGATGTCGCCAGCACACTAAATGAACAAAGAAATTGCCCCTTAGCGCTTGGACCGTCCCGTCCAAAAATGTTTAATTTGTACAAACCAGCGACAGGAAAATGCACGCTGATTTTGCTGACGGATCCTTCTCTTTCAGTGAAGCACAGCTCATGGGGGAGATTGTCATCCCCTTGGTGTAGAGTTGCTTGAACCAAAATACTCCCTGGGGTCTTAAGTTTTATCGAAGCCCTTCCACATTCTGACAGGATATTTTCGTGTTGGTCAACCAACTCAATCTGCCAGGTCTTGAAAAGTTCTGAGATCTGTGGGAAACCTGGATTGTTGCTTACACCTTTTAAAGCTTTGATTGTGAAAGAGCAAAGAAATTCAGATTTCGCGTCCACCGTTTTACGACCGAAGATGTTCAACGTGAAAAAGCCGCTTTCAGGAGCATGAACTTGAATTACAGACTCGTTTTCCATGTTCACGACTGCGCACATTCCGTGAAGATCTTTCTCGTCAAGTCGAAGATGAGCAGACAATAAAACACCTTTGGGGTTTTGAACGGTGATGGAGGTTCGGCCATTTTCAGCTAAAATGTTTTCCGAGTGGCTTGAAAGGGTCAGGCCCCAGACTCGGAAACGCTCTGATATTAAAGGAAAACCTGGCACAGGACCGGCTCCTTTGTAAGCGGTGACAAAGTATGTGCACAGATACTCCTGGGGCCTGGAATGATCGTAGTAGTTGGCGTAAATGCTCAGTTTATATTCTCCTCTGCTCGGCAAGTGCACTTTTTAGGCAGAAACCATTCTCGGTTTTTTTTCGCTGCAACAGAGCCTGTGGTCTTCCTCTTTCCCGGTTCGTTCGCCAGAAGTCTTGATTAACCTTCCCGTGAGCGAGTCGAAACGCTTTTTACTACAGGTTAGAGTAACACTACATTTACCGTCTTTGGTTTCGATATTCCTTAGCGGACTGTGCAACTGAAATCCCACGGGTTTTAAATTAAGACTAACTGTGGAAATCCTCCTCTGTCCTCCCCAACGCCTGCCGTGGAGTAAATGCAGTATCTGACCCCATGTTCCCACTTGGAGTCTATAAGCACCATAACGTCCAACACAAATTCCCCGCAGAGGGAAACTGTGCCGTTAGTTTAACTTTGTTATTTTCACGAGCCGGCTCAACACGGACCATATTTCTGGTAGTGGGTCGTTCTCTCCCAGATACACAGTTTTTTAGCACTCCTTTCAGTATGGTGCTGTCCGTTGCATAAAAAGTCATTTCAATTTGCTCGCTGTCTGAAGCAGTATACATGCTCTCTTTGTGGCTACTCAGAGCCACATTCATCATCATGAAGAGGACCTGAAGGGATAGCTAATCTCTCAAAGGCTTCTTTTGTAACCGGTGCATCTAAAATTGCCATTTCTCTTCAGCAGGGAAACGATTCGTAATTGCAATCGAGGGCGGAATCATGAATTGGTGTACGTTAGGATCTCTGTGGAACATCATGTCCTCCTCGATACTACCTGCGCCCCAAGTTGGATCACAAATAAACCACTTTCCACCGTTCACTCTAATAACATTCCACGAATGGTTTGGTTCAGGAATTTTCTGCCGCATCTGGTAGCCATATCCTTTAGCGAACCCTCTTACTTTCCGTGCTGGGACGTTCGAAGCTCGACAGAGCTCTTGAAATAAATTAGCATACCCTTCACTTATCGTGACGCGTTCCCTAAGCACACTTTCGGCATCTGTACCTTTCCTTGCTGCTGTTTCGAAATAACCCTCCACGTCGAAGAAAATGTTGGTTGTTATCCATCGATAGACAGCGAAAGCCTTGCTTTTTAAGCTTTCATACGGCTCTGTAAGATATTGGCTCAGTTTAGTGACGTTTTCCGTTTCGCTTCTGGGTATCGATTTGACGTGTGCGTCTACCGCCCTCTCAAGTCAGAGCGAAGTGTAAGCTTACGCCGACGAATGGCTGTTAATGCCCGCCGGCAGCGGATCTGTAAAAGCGCAATTCCAGCAGGTGAAATCGTGCTGATTTTCTCCCTTTTCTCTGGTGAATCCTCATGAAGGAATACCACAGATGGTCGAGCAAAAATACCTCGTTTCGGTGCGCAAGGAAAATATTGAATTCCTTTGTAACATCCGTCATTTCCTTGCTCTATTTCCTGCTGCATCTCAATTCCAATCCATTCTCCTTCGCCAAGTTCGGTAACACCAACAAACTTTACAACGCCGACATAACCGCGCACATGAACATCATCGCCGATTTGAAAGCTCTTGCGTAACGGGGTAATTAATCCCACTCCATTACAGTTTCCAGTTCTCTCTAAATGTACATCTTGATTTTCGAAGCCGCTTTGCTGCTGGCCAATATCTGTGTTCTTGTTCAGTGCTTTAAATCCTCGATTTCCTTCTTTTTGAGTATGAACTTGTTTCACTTTAGGAGCATCGGGGACATCTGTGTTGACTTCCAGTGTTTTAGAATTACTGCATCCCATGTTCGATAAAATTCTTGCAAGCTTTCAACATTTGCGCTTTTCTCAAGTGGTAGGTCAAGTTTCGTCGGCTTGATTTGAAATATATTTTTCGCTCTTTCGTTAGATGGCCGCTTCGCACGTAAGAAACCTTTTCAGCTCTTGCTCTCACATTGTGTTTATGCTAAAGGTGGTGACCACAGAATATACTTAGAGAAAATTAAAAATTCCTTTTTGTTAGGTAGATAAATTATTTATCAGCGGTTTGTGTAAACGACGATATGCCTTTTCTCCGGTTTCCCAGCAACACAGAACTTAATCTACTCTTTCAAGCAGTAAGTAATGGGGAACCAACACAGGATAACAAAATTGACAATAAATCCGATGAGATATGGGCAATAGCGAACAACTTCTGTCCGGTTGATGATTTTAAAATGCTAATTTTACCTCCGGTTGGCAGAAAGAAGAATAACTATTGTCCATTAGTCTGATAAACAACTCTACAATAACAGAATATATATTGCAATATTCTAATAACAAGACACTGCGCTGGTTGGGTATGCTACCAGGAGAACCAATGAGTTACTTCTGCATGGGTTTTTATTTACTTTTCCTAATTATTACAATTTCAGCATTTACCCTTATAAATAAGGCATATTTTTGGTACAAAAGACATCATTTAGTTTCAATCCGAGTCCCGCTAACGTCCCACATAGCAACTGTTTTAAATCATTATTCATAACCATATGAATTCAACGTTTTATCTCAAAGCTCTTTACAAAAATCGAATGACAGCTTTGGCGAGATTGGGTAAAATAAAATCTACAAGTACTTACTTTTCAATTTTTAGTACAAAATTTCAACATTGAGAAACGATTTGCCAGTCAAAATTTTGGAAAATTTTTTAAATTACCGGTAGAGTCTTGGAGACCTGTAGGGTGTCAACAAGGTGTTTTTTTGGATAAGGTGTTTAGACACCTTTATCAACCTTTTGCCGGAATAAAACTTGTCATTTGTCACTGTCAACATACGTAGCTTTACAGTTTACAAAGCCGACAAAGGGAAAAAAAAAGGCCGCTAACTTCCATCTCTTCAACAACTCCTGTTTATTATTTATTTATTTTGTTCCCGCCCACACGTTCCATCTCTTGTTAGGTTTACTTTTCAAATGTTTCCCAATCTTCTGGCAAAATGGCTGGAATTTGTATTGAAACCCTCCTCAGAGAAGAAATTTTTGAAAGCGCCATTTCTTTTTGAGCGTTTTACGCAACGATTACGTCACAGCAGTAGTTACGTCATGTAGGATAATCTCTCGCGCTAGTGAAGATTTTTCGTGTGCTTTGCCAACTAAAGTCAAACCTGTATTAAGCGGTCACCCACGGGAATAACACAGGTTCCACAGCTTAATACAGGTTCCACAGGATAGGGGTACCACGAAAAAACGCCGTTTAATGCCATAACTGACCACTTATGTACAAAAAAATCCCTCAAAAATGCCACTAACATTGATTTCGGGCGATAAAATGGACTCATTTTTATTTAAAAGGCTATTCTTAGTTTAATTTGTGCTGATACACTTAAAATGACCGTTCAGTAGAGGTGGGAAAAAAACTAACCGATGGCACTTACTCAAAGGTGACCAAGACCGCTTAACAGTTATTGGAGAGAAACAAATTCGGGACTTTGACAACCGACCGCAAAATACAAGGTGACCACTTAATACAGGTTCTACTGTAGTTTTACCATTTTCATGTGAAATACCCGAAATAAGCTTTGAAATTTCCTCTAAAACGTTAAGTGAAATAAAAGTTAAGAGCTCTGTTAGGATCACAATCCGCCGCAAGAGTCACTCGTACCAGTTCTCTCCGCGGCACATCATCTCCGAGGACATCACGAAGTTGTTCAATACAACGCTCTATTTGACTGTTACCACGTGGCATGACGTCATCGTCGTTGTCATCATCACTGTCCTCCGAATATTCAACAAAATCGTCCTCGAGCAGGCCTTCAAAATCTTCTAAACGGGTAATCTGTGGATTAAAAGACACGATCAGCGCGCTGGAATTCATGGCCAATCCAGGGTAACTGGATTGCGTTCTTTAGCGAGACCTAGAGGAAGGACGTGCAACCCTCACAATGACTCTCTCCCTCCTGAATATAAAAAAAAAAAAGGCCAACTACCTAAACGTGATGAAAAACCGGAAAGGCCATCTGGTAAAGACCGGACAAATTAGGGTCTTTAGCTGCTGTTCTTTGATGACATCTGGAAATGAAGACTTTCTAGTCTTCTTTGAAAGAAGAAAACCTCGTCTCCTGCATCTTGTCTGTACTAGTTAGCAGTGGACGTTAAAGAACCCACGCACTTCTCTCAAAGAGTAGGGAATGTAGCTCCGTTGTTGTGGTCTGGCCTTGTTTCAAAAAATTCCTAAGTTGGGAGCACCTGTAAAATTCCCTATCAGCAATTGTAACTCCTCAATGCAGTCTGGGTTAAGTCCCCCACAATGTTGTAAAGCGCATTAGGGAATTTTCCTGTAGAGAGTGCGTTACATAAATGCATCGTTATCATCATCACCCAATGTTGGAGGAGAAGCGGTACTCCTACCGGTACTCCAGCAAGTGAAAAAGCAAGTCTCGTATGCAGTTACTAGATAAAATACAAGGGGGTAACTTCCATTCAAAGATATTATATTAATACTTACAGCAAGTGCCTGATTTACTTCCTCTGCTATTGGTTTAGCCTGTGGCCTAAATTATAAGAAAATGTTTGTCATCCAATGAGATGTGTTGGTCTTACGACCTGAATGCAAGTTAAAGAGGATGAACCTCAGAGACTGAAAACCCCACTGAGCCTCAATAATCCCTCTACAGTTGTTCTTAGATCACCTCCGTTTTCCCGAATTTCTGTGTGGAATCAGATTGGTATAAAGGTTGGAGTTTGCTTCGTGGGCGAGTCATAAGTAAAGCAAGGTCAATACAGTAAAGGAGTGTTTTTTATGACCCGCTGACCTTACCGTATATCCAACCAAAATTCACTTACATGTTTTGACGAATTCTGTCCTCGATACTTTGTTTCAAAGTGTCAGGGAGCTCTTCAAACATTTCTGATTCCAAGACTTCAGGATGCAACGTTATGTAGTTAAATGATTCCTCCTGAAAAAAAAAAAAACAACAAAAAAAACAAAAACATAAGTACTCTTCATGTAGGGTTATGTCGCAATATCAAAACACCAAAACTGGGAATTGATTTTAAGTTGACTCATGAAAGGCGAACTTGGAAATTTTTGGCACCGTGAGTTACATGTAGTCCCGTTCGGTGCTCTACGCGTCTCCTACCTTTAAAAGAGCCACAGAATACTGCTCCGCCATACCAAGATACAGCAAAACGTTATCTCCATCGATGTCTCGAAGTAAGACTCCCTCACAAATTTCTTTTAGAGAATCCACCTGGAATTGAAAATGCCAAATTTTCTGTAAAAAGCCATCAATAATCGAAGAAAAATAGAGACAGAGATACTAGTAATAAATTCCTTAGCGACCAAGAGTTCTCACTGAGATGTGGACGGCCAATCCTGGCAAGGAAAACATCACGAAGAATGAAGACTCGACGTAACAACAAGCAAAACACCTGAAGCGCGGGAAAACGCGTGTGACCAGGTCGTGATTGGTTTTAGTTTGAATCTGAATGGTTGAGAGTGTGGCGCGGGTTTTCTCAAACAAACAACCGGAATAAAGCAAAACCAAAGCGATTCCCAATTAGTTTTGACGCTCTTTTAAAAATTGCTCTATCGAGAGATTTCTGTTTTCCCATACGAACCATGGAATGAAATTCTAAATGAGTACTGCTTACGCTAATGCTCCGACTGAATTAATTGTGTCAAACACAAAGAAGAACGTGGTCGAGAGAAGAAGAGAATTTTACCCCTTACCTCGTACTTATCGCTCAATGCTATCACCTCGGCAAGCTCGTCCAAACTAAGGCTGTCCTTATCAAGAATACCGCTGTACAGATAACCAAGGAACTTGTAGAACAAACATGGACTCGTGTCGGGAATTAAAATCCGCCTGAAAACCAACAAATTGTATCTATCACTGGCAACTCGGCCAACAAACTCATTAGACAAGTAAATGTCGACCAGACCGAGGAGTTCAGAAATACGCCATTCTTTCTTCCTCTCTATCTAAAGGAAATGTTTCTTTATTTTTATCACTTAGGTTTGGGTCCAGTAACATTGGTAAACGGATTTTCTTAAGGCGTCGATCGCTTCGGTCCGTACGTGTATTTTCTACGCATTTCCTTTCTTCCGTTCACACGCAAACGAGTGAGAAACCAGACATTTTTGCAATCGGTCCCTTAAGGTGATAAATTCACGAAGTAACGACCTCTAGGTATTCCTGGGGTTCGATGAGGTAAACGAATAAAACGCAAGATATTGCTAACATTGACGTAACTACTCCTTTAGAGAGTTTTTCGATTGAGTGTCGTACAACCAAAGACAGAAGTAATCACAACACTTTTGCTTGGTTAAGAGGCTGGGCCGAGTTTTACAGACCAATCAGGGAACAGAACTAAACTAAGCTAATTTTAAAATTCAGTTTAAAATTGCTCTTCTTATTTAAACCAACTGCTTCTCAGGTCAAGCTTTTCCACTCCTTTTTTTCGACTGCGAACTGGTGAACCAGTTGCGTAAACAATATGTAAACGATCGGCATCGCACCCCAAAAAAGGAGCTTTAACAAAGCCCTCGTACCTTTCTATAGATTCTTTCATGCCACTCAGCAGTGCCCGTCTAAACCAATCACAACGTGTAGCTACAATAACACGATGGGCAGCAATCTCCATTACGTTCTGATCACATATTCTTTTGCACTCTGTGCATGCGGAGTAATGAGATAAGTCTGTTTTGTCAAAAATAAATTTCATGTCTGCATGAGCTCCAGATATCAATAGCTGGTTGACTGATTGAGCCAGCGGGCTCTTATCAGCCGGCGGACAAGTTATTACTGACTCCACACGACCTCTGCTCTTCTACAAGAAAGAAGAGAAAGTCAACTTAATTAAAAAGCCTTTTTGTCATAAAAACAATCTTATGAAAAGAAATTTCGAGAAACGTTTGATTGCTTATTTAAACGCTAAAGCGTTCTTTAAATACATACAACCTCTAAAAACTTATAAACAGGAAATAGGTTATATGTCTCCTTTCCCCTTCCCCCAAACTTACTGTTCATCGACAGAGTTTAAACTATTCCTGTATTATAATAACAATTGCAAGGATATCATCAATAAGCAATCACATGATTTTCACGAAAAGTTCAGATGGATCAAACAAGAAACAGTTATATGTCTCCCCTCCCCCCCACCAAAAAAAAATGAATAAATAAATTTCGAGAGACTGACCGCAGTGAATATTAATGACTGTTTTACCATCGCCATGTTCTGTAAGTGTTCCCACTCATTTTTCTCAGTAATAAGGAAGTTTTTACATCCGTGAAGAGCGATTTCTCCTTAAAAAGTTACCTTTTCTCTAGTGATGTCCTCGTCCTTGTCCTCACTAAAACTCTCCTTTCGGAAACCAAGTTCCTGAACAAGATTGGTAAACTGGTCTTCATGAATTAAAGCAATTGTCTGTTCCACCACCGGCTCAAGAATATCTTTGTTTGCTAACACTTTTCGTAAACTAAGACTCTGCGAAAAGAAATAAGTTTATGCACAAAAGTCACAAAATCACCACCCATATGCCCCAGGAAAACTTTGTGACAAATAATAGGCGCCTTGTTCAAAAACTGACCAGCGAGGTTTACCAGTAAGTTTTCTTTAACAGATGTTCCTAACAACCTTTCTTCCCGATGTTCCCTACAAGTTTTACTGACGAGTGCAACTATCATGATCTGAAAACTAACAAATTAAAATAAAGCTTTTGTTTAAGTTGTTTGATAAATGTTGGTCTATTGTAGAACCACTTGTTGAATTATTGATGCCCTAAAATGTTCCTATATAATAATTATGACGTTAAATTACTTGCTATAGATCGGCCAATTCTTACCACGAATGACGTCCACTCTTTACACAAATACTTCCACTGCTTCCATGGCATCTTTTTCTCAAATATTCTTGGAAATTTATGGAGAGTGCGAATGTGATCTGGTATCTGCATTGATTAAAAAAAACGTCATCTACATGCTCGATGATTAACTGGACTCTCACCTTGTTTCTCTAACCTCAAAACTTTGAACAGTTACATGAAATCCCAACGTATTTCATACAAGTCCACCCCTAAACAGTCCCACCCCTCCCCCTACAATTAACCATTGGTCTTCCCCAGCCTCTCTCCTTCAAGCCACCTCTGCATACGTCACTGTTGATCCCTTTCCAGTGCTGTCTCTCAGTATACCCACTCTACTAATACAATAGTCTCTTCTAATAACACATACTTATTATTACTGACCTCTAGCATCATATTATCCATGGTCTTTAACACAGATCTCAGCTTCTGTTCTTCTGATAAAGAAGTAAAATCCCCCCTGAAACAGCGAGAATACGTGGACATTAAGGATAATACTAATTAAAAATTCGAAAACAAATACTAGTGTTACTACTAGTGCTAGTGCTGGTATTTAAAATAATGACAGATAACTATTACAAAAATAGTGATAAGAATAATGAATTTGATAGTAATAATAATAATACATTATTTATCCCAATTGACGATAGTAACTATAAATTATATAATTGTTTATCAAAAAAAATACCAGGTGATAAAACATTGTTAATTTTATGAACAGATAGTGATTTAAAGTTGAGTTTTATATGGGTTCAACTCCTATTAAAAAGGATTTGCAAAGAATTTGGAATGTGAAGGCTTTCTGTTGAAACAGGATCCATGCTTTAATCCCAATGAATAATAGTTAGTATACATAAAGTCAGCCTTAGCTTTTGTTCAACAAATATTAATCAATTTAATCTAAATGTAGGGTCAGAGCTTGGGAAAAAAGATTTTCTCACCTTTTTTGCAGCAGAAACATAAGTGATGATGAGACCTTATCGTGAAATCTTTTAAGTGTTATAACTTCTCTAAGGTGAACTGCCTGAAGATTTAACAAATTTAACACAAATCCAAATCATACTAATATCTCTTAGTTTGTATGTGAGCTATGATTGGTGCATCTTATAACCTTGTTTCCTCTGTTCGTACTGTAAGTGACAGAACTTACTACACTAACATCAAACTCAGTTTACTTACAAAGAGGAATTAAACATTCCCATTCCCAAAATTTCATAGAATAAACATGAACATAGCCACACAAACAATGAGCACAGCCACACTCCACTCTCTATCTATACCTGATTATTGCATAATTATGCAATTCATGACATTTGATTGGTTTTGCAACCAGGGTACATGATCAAAGTTAAAATTAAAGTTCCCTTTTCACAATTTGTTCTTTTCTTTTTGATGAAGTAGATTTACCAGTAGTATGATCTATAAATACTTTGTATTTACTCACATTTCTGAGCGTTCTACTTAATGAAGTTGCCATCTTCGGAAGATGTGTTTTCGATTTATGATCTTTGTCTACTTTCCGTGTAATTGTCTCCAGAGCACAATTGGCATCACTTCCCAGCTGAGTGGATGTTAACCAAATCTTCTCAATCTATGTACAGAAAAAGAACACAATGGAGTAATAGGAAATAGTAGGGTGCCCCCTTCTGTTACAAATTCCTCCCTCAACCCTTGTACAAGCTTATTGATCCTGAAATAACCTGTTCTTGACCCAGTTTCTGGGGCAAGAGATGAAGGAAGGTTAATTAATTTCAGATAACTTCGCTCTGTTTCCAAGCCAGTTTGTTGGAACCATTCAATATTTCAGATGGGGAGAAAGACACTGCAAGAGCACTTCTTGTCCCAATATCAATTTTGTTTAATATTTGTTATAAAAACATTTTAATTACAATAGTACCAATCAATCTATCAACAATTACTTGATATTAAAAGATAGAGCCATGAAGCTTAACTGTTATAGTTATTTCAAATTCACAAACCTCTGGAATAAGATGCAAGGCCATGTCTTCCCTCTCAGACTCACTGAGTCCAGATAAAGCACCTTGGAAAACTGTCAAGAATTTCTCCACTAGTTCCACAAAACAAGGCAACCTAGGAGGAAAAAAACAATTAATAAAGAAATATAGAACTAGTGTAATACCATTTTTCATGTCACACTGTACATGGGCACAGTAAAACTGAAGTCAGTGCTTGATTGAACAAAAACAGAAAAAGAAGACAAGTGTGCCAAGTGGAACCAAATGAGTCATAACCTAGTGCTGAAGGAATTTCCAGAAGATCCCAAAATATTGGAAAATGTTTCTTCTTTTACCTCTTCCAACAGTGCTGAATAATATCTTGTCTCTCTTCTCTTGATAGGTCAGACTTGTGTTTGGTAAAAATGTCACAGAGCAAAACAAACTTCAACATTCCTGGTAAGAATAGGATAACAGCAGAACATTGGTAATTTAATGAAACTTCAGTTAATTTTTTTTTACTCCAAACCACCTTTGTGTTAAATCAACAACTCCAGTCTTAATAGTTCTACAATGGATACAAGGTAAGAAAAGTACTTCTTAGGACATCATTGATAATTGTGTTATGTTAGTTAACTCTTTAAACAAATTTCTGATTTATCCACTGGTGGCTTGTCCCCAAATAATCACAGAGGAGTGAGGGTGGCAAAGGGTATATAGATGATGCACAATTAGGCCCAAAATTAATATATCATTATGTGATGCATTAATTTAAACAAAACGCAAGGGGAAGACTGGGATTTGAAGCTCTCTCTTTTAAATTTTTGATGCATGAAATACTGTTCAAAGTACATGTGACATGTATTTTTTTTATATTTGTACATGAAACAGGATCAGGATACCCCTTTAATTTGCTACCCTATGGAGTAAAGTTATCCCATTTCAGCCGAGTACCAGCTCAAATACTGTGATGCACTAATCGGTTGATGTATCAGCAGTACCACACCAATGGCACAGGATGGAACAGTACCTGAATCCATGTCAACCTGGACATGGAGCAAGTCTAAAGGGTTTGAGGCATGAAGCACAGAGACTGTCAGACTGAGCACCTATACTTGTTCTTGCTGTGACCCTCTTCTTTGTCAACAGCAAGGATCAACAAAGGACATCCACTTTGAAGAGCTGCTCATATAAATTAGACAAACTATAATTGTTAAGATAAATTATTTACCTATTGATAGTTGCCTCAGTGACATTTTGGTAACTTTGACTATCTTTAGAGGATCTACTCTACATCCATTTCCAGTGTTGACGGTTCCATTACTTGTTCTATCATGACGAAATCCTGAGGCTAAAGATTCTGATATTTGTAAAATGTACTCCAATATACTATATAAGTCACTGAGAAGACTTTTGATCCCTGGAAAATAAAGAAAAGATAATTCTCAACAGTTCTGTGATGAAGAATTGTAGTAGACTGAGGATAGTACCATTTTGATAGTAAAGACAAGATGGGTATCCATTGTGCTTCCATGATTAACCCTTTCACTCCCACAAGTGACCAAGACAGAATTTCTCCTAACAATACCAATACAATATCAAGCAGGCAGGTGATGAGAATAGAGAAGAATAACAATCATGGGATTATTAGTTGATCCAATACCAAATTCTCTGAACTAACATCATTAGATCTTGGGAAGGAGAATTACTAAAGGGGAGTTTTAATGCTTTATGGGAAAAAACCCTGCCAACTGTGAAAAGGGTTAAAGGTGCATGGACAAGGTCACATTAAGAAAAAAAGCAAGATGGAGAATTTGGAAGGTAGTGGGATCCAAGCCAAGTTATGAGCTTAAGACTAATGTATTTATTCAATAATGCCCAACCACCCATGAGCAGAGATGTCCTATGGACTTAAATATAATTAAAGTGAATTATAGATACACATCAGTTGGCCATTGCGAAGAGAGGTTCTCTTTTCACTGACTCTAACTTGAACCACAACTATTTTGAAATGTTTTCTCTGGAGGGTAGAAAACCAAAAAACTTACAGAAAGGGCCTTGGAGCAGGGAGCAGTCTATTTCTTCAGAAATTACACGTAACCCAAGCCATATGCTGCATTTGAATCAGGAATAAACATGGATCATTTTTTTATGAGGATTGAATCATGCTGTGGCCAGATCCATGAGAGGCATTCTCCTCTGAGAGTAGTTTTCAAAATGCTTTCACTTTTAAATTAACCACAATAAGAAAACTTGAAAGAGAATTGGTATCTTAGGCCACAGTCATGAATGATAAAGGATGTTGTCCTTCTGATGGAAGCCCTAAAAACAAATCTTTTTTTGTATCTCTTAATCAAATCTTAGCCATGGCATGTTGTTGAAATCTTCTCCCATTGACTCCCATTGAGCCTCTCTGTGTATAGAGAGACAATGTTTCAAAGCTGATGCTACGCTGTAAATTACCGAAGGCTGCCTGATTCACTTTAACAATTAAAAAAGGGGAAGCTGGAAATGAAATAGATCTAACATAAAATGTTCTTAAACATCATCAATAGCTTACGATTTTTCACAGCTGTTGCTTCAAGATACTCAGTACAAAGCTTGCTTAGATGTCCAATATCCTTCCCATTCAATTGGGAAATTTTTTGAAGCTCTTTTGCAGTTTCATCTGAGATGTCAGCTGGCAAACAACTAGTGTACAAGTAATGTAACAGTGCCCTTAGCACATCTGATGGCTGATTTTCTAATAAAGGAGGAATTTTGTCCCATGTACAGACATCGGTAAAGAAACAAGAAAGGACTGTCTTGTGGGCTTGGAACTAAAAAACAATGCAAAAATAAAGATTAAAAAAAAAGTGGACCAGGATGAAGAAAAAGGTGTCTTGGGAACCCAGTGACCCTTTGATACCATAGTTTGTCCCACTTTCTGCACCACAAATCATTGTAGGGTACTTCCACCCTTCCCAGACCAGATGCTACTTAATTGCTAGTAGTTCCCACCACTAACTCACACTTCCCTCACAGATTGTGGGTACCCATTCAAACTCTACCGTAAAAAGAGGCACAGAAAGGTGTGTCGCCTTTCATTTACAAGAGGACATAATTTCATGACACCAGCCAGAGATCAAACAATAGTAAGACCTCTTGATCCACAGTCTAGCATGTTAAATGGCAAAGGGGCCAACCCAGCTTTAACTGAAAACACTTGATCTAACTTGAAGGTAAATTACATTCCAATACTGTCACCCAGGATGTCAATCCATACATTTATTGTAAACAATGAACATTGCAATCATGAACTAATAATAAAAGAAATTTGATGATGCAGAAAAGTTTGAGATGATCAAAACATCTTCTGGGTCAAGAAATATAGGAGGCTCATGCACAAATGTTTTTGAAACATGGACAGCAGCTGAAAGGTTAAAGATCTCATTTCTAGTGCTCACTTACCTTTCTGGTCTGCACCTTTTATGTTTAAAATGCAAAAACCATGACCTAACAGTCAATAATTTACACCAAAGTATGCCAGAATTACTCTTTTTTTTGCCATCTGCATCTCAAAAATGTCTTTGCTTAAATCCTTGAATATACCCACTGTATATGACTGTATTTGGAAATATTAAGTACTAGCTAATAATACTTAGTAACTGCCTCAGCTATAATATTACATGTATAGACTTAAATAAAATAGGCAAAATATATCTAATTAGACATTTTGGTGTGTAGTATTGCTGAGTATTTTTACAAGTTGTGCCATATTTCAAAGAGTGCATAGGGCATGTCAAAATACAAACAACTATTATAATTTGTTATCCAACTGCTTGATTCTATGCTTATTTCTCATAAGGCTGAAAAAGTGAAGCAGATAGAGAGGTGTAGTGTGTTTAGTGGATCATTACCGGTTAAACAGGTCTTTTTTTTTATACAAAATACAAAATATTCAGCTGGCCTTAAATGTGGCATGATATTTGTGCTTGATTCACAGACTCTACTATTAAATAAAAATTCACTATACAAGCCAAAATTGACTTCATTATTAGATTGTTAATGAGTCACCTTTTCACCATTGCTAGCAGTAAGGGTGATATCTGTGAAAAAGCCCTCCTTCAATGCAGAAAGTAAGGAATATGGACCATGTGAAAGATTTGTAGAGTTCACTTGATCCACCTGGGTTGAAAACACATGTATTTAATTCCAAAATGAAAGGGTCTACCAAACAGATTCTGAGAAACTAATTAAAAAGATAAATGCAAAATTGAGAAATTGTAATGATGCATTTTACAAAGCTGGCAATAGTCACTGAAAAAATATATAGGGCTTGGATCTCAGTACGGCAAAATAATTTGCCACAGCGATATAATTATTGTAAACTTTGACAAATGTTAGAGTAGAGCAGAAAATAATGAGTCTAATAAACTATCATTTTCCTTTACAGAGTGACACCTTTAACCAATTTCTGAAAAGTTTTAAGTCATGATAAATAATGAGAAGTGTCATCCTAATGACAATTGTTTTTGGAATGTGGTGCTCATTCTGAATTCATTATTTTCCAGACCAGATTTTTTTTTTACATTTCTAGTGATTGTGATGTTGATAGGGAAATACTAAATGCAAAGCTGTTGAACATATTTTTACCTTTCGACAGCACAACTTTAAATGTCTGTCATAACACAAGACCAGCTGGTTTGATTCAAGAGAACACTATAGAGCAAAAAATTACAGAATTGCCTGTTGTAAGGAAATGAGAAACCGTAACACTGACTGCATGTACACAAAAAGGAACTTTATGTAGAAATTACAGAAACATGAAAAATGCAAGACTGGAGTGACAGAAGGAAAGAAATTAAAAGAAAGAAAAAAGAGGAAAGAATGGAAGGAATCGGAGGGCATCCAAGAAAGGAGAAAAGGGTAACATTCACAAGCCTGTCGCCAAATCCTTCAAAACAAAAAGCTGTTCACTTCCTGAAGAGAGCAAAAAGGGTTTTTCCCTTACAAAATCCATTTGTTTTCAAGTAGAAAGGTAATAAGAAGAGAGAATTAGTAATACATGAATTAAGGGATACTGATGAATTCAAATCCAAATTCTCAGTACTAAAATGATACATAATGTATGGCAATGTAAGGAGTATTTGGATCAATATCAGTATCCAGGCAACTGCCCACCTACCCCTCCCCTAACCCAACATTAACCCTAATTTGTTATCAATTGACTGTTGTTGAGTTAGGGGAGGGGTAGGTGGGCAGTTGCCCAGATACTGATATTGATCCGAGTATTTCATGATGACAATTGACTTTAGAGTGGCCAATAAGGTAAAAAAAAAAAGTGCATACAAGGCTTATAAGGAGTAAATTAGTAACAGCAATGTTATTACCTGTTACCAAGTTGTCATTTGACACCACCTTACATGATCTTAACATGGTTGATATGTTTAAGTTGCATTTTTTTAAGAAAAGAAAATAAAAACCACCAAAGACTGGTCATCCAATTGGCCTCTTTCAATACAAATTTAGTAGTCAAAACTTTTTTCTACTTGTTACGAGCAACCAAAACAGGTTACTTATTCAGCAATATACTACTTTTGACTTACTCTTAAAGCAATTTTGTCAACATTGCTGCCATAACAAACCAACTCTCCTGAAAAGCCATCGACCTGCACAAGAAAAAGAAGACTTTTTGCCCACATATAAATTTATTAACAATTTGTGATTTGAAGAAATCTAATTCTGCCACTAAAAACAGTTGTGAAATAGAGCTTTAAGTTATAAACATTCTTAATAGAACAGTATTCAAGAGCAAACAATTATTTCAACAAATACACCTGTAACACTACTAGATCAAGGATTGCATGATGAATATAATTTAGAGGCAAGTTGTTTTACCAAAGATAATCTCCAGATCCAGAGGAGAGACACTTTGGTATTAAATTTCTAGCATTCAAACAAAAAGCTTGCAAACACTAACTTGTCTAAAGTTCTCTTACCACAAATGTTTCACAAGAAAAGAAAGGAAGTGTATCTTGTTCTGATGTTGGAGGCACACTCCAGATCAGATCACCACCTTCCTCTAAACTGAATTGTACCCTGAAAAAAAGAAACAGATTATCAATTCTATACAAAGAAATCATAAATATAATAGTAATTTATGTAAAAATTAAGTCCATTTTTTATTAAAACTCACAGAAATATGCAGGAGGACAGAGGAACAAGACACAGTTTGAGAAAGTGGGGAATAAATAACTAATTATAAATGGTAGAATACCTGATTAGATGATTATAAATGACTGAAAACAAATCAAAGAAGAAATTTCTTTGCATACAAGGTGATAGCAGGTGATGGGAAATTCATTGGTCTAATAGTAAGTGCAATGAACTCCAGGCCAGGTCTCTAACTCAGACCTATTGCCCTGGTCAATGCATTGTGGTCTTGGGCAAAATTTATCATTTACTCACAAGTAGTGCCTCTCCAGCCAAGAGTATAAATGCATACCAACAAATTAACAAGAAAGCCTGGTGAAATACTAGGGGGAGAGGGGGGTAACCTTGCAATGGACTGGCTACCCATCCAGGGGAAAGCAGTGCTACTCCTTGGCCCTTCATGCTTGGGAAACCAGAATAAGCTCCAACTGGGTAGGCCACTTGGCTTGAGTACAGACTTAACTTATCAAAAAAGTTTGAGTGAAGTAAGGTACCCTTTCAGCTGTTTCAGTAATAATATTTTAAATATTTTAACTCTGCGATTGTTTTTCAATAAGCTTTGCTCCCCTAAATGTGTATTCTTAGATTAAGTTTCTTGGCAATTTCCCAGGATGTGTCCTTATTCATTTGATAGAGCTCCATCAAAAAAAAAAAAAGTACAAAACAGGTGGAAATTATTATTATTAGTGGTAGAACTTAATCATATAATTATTAACTTATGCTGTTGGCTCTAAAGATACGCAGTCTCTATATCTCAAAATAAAGCAATGAATAACTACATCAAAGTAACGCTACAGAGCTGCGTGTTTGACCACATCACTAAAAAGTAATTTTAAGGGCTTGTTGAAGTGTCGCATAAACGTTCGAGACTAAATAGAACCCAACAAAATTAAATTTTCACCACAAAACATTTGCGCTCACAGACAGAAAATAGGATGAGCTATTCAAATCATTAAAAATATACAGTTTACAGAAATGAATAAGAAGTTACCCTTCGACGTCTGGGTATCTCTCTTCTTGTAGTTTGCAAGACACTATCTGAAAACATTCATTGTCGAGAGAAATGTCAGCAAAACTGAAACCATTATTGATTTTTGTGGCAAATAATTTTCTGGGATTTGACGTTACCTCCCAACAGCCGAGCAGATCTTCCTCAGAAGGTTTTCTATCACAAACCTCATCCATTTAACTGGAATAAGCAGTAATTACTCCATTATATAGATAATCTATGCGGTATGTTGTTAGGAACTTCTATGTTTTCATTTAAATTCCTATTCTTCGACGCGACTAAACTGGTTCGGAATACAACAACTTCGTTTTAGATCGGCCCGGATCGGCACTGCTCGGTCAAGGTCGGCCATTGGTACGTTGCCATGCCCCAATGCGTCTTGGGTAAATAACATTAGGAGGGAAAAAGGAGGAACTTGAGAGCTAACTATTGTCTTGGTTAAGAAGTCTGTTTTGAACCAGTTGTAAAATGTCTCTGTCCTTTTCTTTGGAGGAGAATTATTCTCTTTTGCCACTCAATGATTCATTTGTACCAAATGAGTTAGGTTCACCTTCACGTCATGGACGTGTGAAAGGTTACGACGAAGAGTTTGATCCGCCATTGGAAAGCAAGTACAAATGTACTATTTGTCATCTTGGTCTTCGAAATCCTGTGCAGACGTTCTGCGGCCACAGATTCTGTAGAGAATGCATTTTACATTCAATGAGGTACTATGTGAAATGTAGTTGAAGTTGGGATGTTGTATTAGAATGATTTTAAAATTACAAATAGTCGAATAATACAAGAAAGTAGAAATAACTAATCTTATATTACATATTAAATACTTTGAAATCCCTTCATGTCATTTGTTTGCTTCGAATCTTAAACGATCAGTTCGCATATTGGATCGATTTTTCAGCAGTTTGTTCGGCAGTCTGAAATTTGATTCTGTGCCGATTTTGATCGATCGATTGCCTAGAGTTTACAGACCACCCTGGGTACCTGGTAGTGAAATGGCGGATGCGTAAATTCAGTGTGCACTGAAAGAGTACTTTGGAAAATTTTAGGTTTCTTCGCGTATGAGCGATTGTTTGTCATTACTTAAATAGAGACTATATAAGGCTATGACAGTCACAAATGAAAGACTAATGCATTAAGTTATGGTTACGTATATATAACTGAATTATTTGCTCTTATTTTAATCCATGCATTCCGAACTTGATATTTCTCTTTTCCTCATTAACTATGACACTAAGAAATTGAAGCTAATAAACTAATTGTGTTAGTACAGTGCACCTATGCTCAAGGTTATTCAAAGTCCCTAGATTGGCAAAAGGAAATCAGAACATGGTTGCCAGAAACATAATTTTAATCGAAGTAATAGCAAGCAATTGTCGTTGAATTTTAACATGGCCTCTCAAGTAATTGCTTGAGAACTAGTTCATAATATTTCATGTGAATAAAGTCTCTATTAGTATGAATCTAGACATCGATAACTGAGAGGTCTGTACTGGGTACAGGCAGGTTATGTGTTAGTCCTTTTCTTCGGATTGAGTAATTTGCTTGGCATAAGAGTCATTGCTTTCAGTAGAAACAAAGGCTATGTTTATATATATGTATGCTATGCTATATATATGTTTTAATTGCGGAATTACTTTAATATATTACTGCTTAGGTATCTTTGCATGTGTTATTAGTAATCAAGCCAACAAGCAGGCCACAAGTTATTTCTAGCTTCTAAGAAAGTTTTAGTTTTCCTCTCACCCACACCATTGACAGTTTTGATTGTTTCTTTATTTCATTGGTGTTTGTAATTTATTCCTGGTTACTAGATCATTGTTATAGTATGTTCATTAAATATCTTTTATGTAGTAGTCAAGTGTGCTATTTAGGTAGGATATATATATGCATTAAATAAACTGTCAAGTCCCAAAACTAGCCTCTGTTTGTTGTGTTGTTTAGGCTGATGTTATCTCCCTTTAATTCGAGGTAATAAAATTGAAAATGTTACAGCTTGCTTATTGTATACTTGACCACTGAAGACAGGTTGCCTCTTTGGTGACTCTTACTGAAAAAGTTTTTTCTACATGCCATAGTGACCAAAATGGTTGCAGCTTAGTTATTTATTCACTTATTTTGTGCAATTATCAATATAAGATTTTCAACTGCCTATTATAATATTAAAGTTTAAACTATACCAAAATATTAAACCGCTCTAGCAATACAGTACTGAACAAGAGGACAGACTCATGAATGATAATACTGATGGGTCATGTAGCATGCTAGGCACTTCACTCAAAACCTGTCACTAAGCAGTTAGGTAGTGAGAAATGCAGTCCTTAAGATTGTAACATTTGTTTTATTCATTCATATCCTTCATTACTTGTTTTAGGGATAGCCATGGTGACTCACTTTGCCCTTTGGATAGAACACCTTTGTCAGAATCACAGGTAAAGCACTTTTCTCTTAATTCAACCCTTAGTGACAAGCTTCCAATTTCTCCTTACAATATCACCCCAGAATCATACATTAAGGTCCCAAGAATAAAGGAAATGATTACAAACTAAAGATGCTCTTGATTGTTGAACAGATTCTCTTTACCTGCACCACAGTTATAAAATATATGGAGAGCAGTATGGATAATTACATGTTCTGATGTTGGTGTAATGGGTTGAACATTTAACTCTGAAGATCTAAATAATTATTCTCCACACTGGTTATAATTCATCACTTACACTTTTTTAAGTAAAATTTGGTGGTTAATCAAGCAATATGAAGTTGATCAATTTTCCACTTCTTGTCACCTTTTCTACTTGAAAATGTTTATATGTTCCTAGGAGTGAAAAGGCCAAGTTGAATATGAAAAGCATTGAAATTTAGACAGTATATTTTGCATTTTTAGTCAAATTTCTCGTCTGGTACATGATGATGAGATAAACATTAATTAATATGAAACATCATGTGGTAATTATGACTTAATTAGCCTAAATTGGTAAATTGTAACAAAACTTTTAAGTCAATTTTGTTTTCATCTTTATTCCTTAGTTTTACCCAGACAAATTTGTGGAGCGTGAAATTTTGGAATTTGAAGTATTATGTCAAGCCAAGAAACAATCTGGGTGTCTATGGAAAGGTCCCCTTTCAACATTAGAGGTATGAACAGAGTGTGCTTGTGCACTCAAATTTTATGGTAATTTGTTAGTATCATCTGAGTTGATAATGTAAAAAAGCCACTGTTAAGAGTTTCAAAGCTGATGTCTCGAGCGTTAGCCTTTTGTCAGAGCAAATGAGGAAGGGCTAACAGCAAAGTACCAGCTTTGAAACTCTTAAGGTTGGCCGGTTTATGTCATTAACTCAGTTGTTAATATTAAATTACCTTGTTATACTCTCCCACCAATGCAGCACCCACCAAAAAATTGTAAGACATACATGCAAACCTCAAAGCTACAGACTAATTACCTCTGATATTTGTTAAAGGCTTATTCATTAAGATGCAGAAACAACATTTTGTAATGAATTCTGATATTTATGGTTTTCCGAGTTTCACAGAAAGTAATTGACTGAAGACACTCTAAGAATCAAACAGTAATAAACAATTTTACAACTCATATGTCAGAAACTATGGGCGATAGTTTTGTTGTTACGTTGCACTAAGAGATTGGAAATAGGTGAATATAAGAAACTGGAAACTCATGAGAAGGATCTTTGTTCTATTAGAGAAAAACGTTGTCTTATATGCTCAGCTTGTGTTGAACTGCAGATGTGATAACAGAGAAATGTTCTTCTAGATAATTGAAAATTTAATTTATAAGGAAATATGTGTTGGCATGTTTTCAACATCATGTATATCTCTGAATGATCTCATGCAATGAGTAGCATCACGAGGTACATGTATGTTGAATTATCAGGTAATAGCACCTGTCCAGTTTGATATTGTCTAGATTTAGATTAGTGACCATGAAAGACTGCAGGTTGACTGGACTTACATAGATACCAAACCTCACTAAAAAACACATTCACAGCCAAAAAACAAACAAACAAAAAATTAAAAGATTGATTTAACAGCATATGCCTTAGGCTTTTCCCTTTTGTAGCTAGTTTATAAATGTTATTATGTTTAATATCTGAGTATGAGTATAATGAAGAAAGGATAACAAAAGGTATTAAAACAGATCAACCTCTCCTGGCTTCCTGAAGTACTGTATAAGAGGAAAATGCCCTCGATTTGAAAGTTTTTAATTCTCAAAAGTTTTCACTTCAGCCCTTGAAACTCAAGGGATTTATTCTCTGATATATCAGTGGCTACATAGGATTAATGTACTTCTCTCAATTTTCTGCTTGACAGGATCACTTAAGTGGATGCCAATTTGTTGTTGTGAACTGTAAACACAACTGTGGCAAACAGCTACAAAGGAGAGACATCCACCAACACATGGAAGCTGAGTGCTTGTACAGGAAAACTCCATGCGAACATTGTGAGGATCCAGTTTTATGGAACGAAGTTGAGGCAAGCCTCTAAGTTATAAAAGTGACCCAAAGAAAAAATTAACTTTTCTTGTCAAGTACTTTAATTATAATAATGAACTTCACTATGTGAAATTGAAATTTGTGGCAACAGAATGAACGACTCCACATTGTGTAGAAACAAAAAAACATCTACTTTAACTCCTCAACAGTAAAATGATGTTGGTTAAAACTAAAATAACAAACAATTACAATTAAGTTACACAGTATATGATATAAAGAAATTACAAAACAGGACAGAAAGAGGACTATAGAGCAGTTACGTAGTTACCACCACAGAAAAGACCAATATTGATACTGCAAATGCTAGGGCCAAAAAAAAAGAAAAGGAAAAAGACTAGCAAGAATGGCAGTATGTTATTGAACTATGCTTAGCGCAAAAAACACGAAGAGAGGCATATTGCTGATATATATATATATATATATATATATATATCAATAAATTATGCTAGGTGGCAATATGGTGGTGATAAGGTGCCAATGAAAACGATAAAAAGAAAAAGGTGCTAATGAAGTAGTTGCCTCCTGTTAAGAAAAGCAGGATATGCTCGAGCTGGATCAGAGCCACTTGGTTCAAGCACAGACTTATTCCTCTAAGTTGGTGATGTCAATTTTTTTTTACCTAATCATGATTTGAAGTGACTGTTCTTTTCAGAAACATTTTGAAAACTGCTCCAGGTATCCTCAGCAATGTGAAAAATGTAAAGAGGAGGGCATTAAAAGAGACAAGGTAACAATTTTATGTAGCAATTTTTTATGTAGGGAATTTTATGGATCAATTTATAATCCCCTAACTTATATTTTTCTTCATTCTTGTTACTTGTCTGCTTGATATTGAATTTAACTATTGAGTTAAAGGGTTAAGGGGTCACAGTCACTCTTTCCTGAGTCCCATTGGTTTGTTTGTATTGTCTAACACCTGTATTGAATGGTGAATTAAAGCAGAACCACTCAACTAAAACTAAGAATGATCTTTCAAGTTATTTTAAATTTGTGTTTCTCTCCCAAATGAAATTAAGTTACTGTAGTATTTTTGAGCAAGATTCTTTAAACTAAGTGGTCAGTTATGCCATAAAGTGGTGCTGTTTATTGTTTTTTATAATGGGCCTTATCTGTGGAACCTGTATTACACAGTTATCCTGACATTCCGTGTGTGTGACCACTCAATAAAGGTTTCAGTGGTATCAACACATGAAATTACAGCTTAAAATGTAGTAGAAAATGGGACTGAATCTATGGGCTGGTTATTTAAACAGAGTTAGCTGCTGGTTAAAGAAACAGCATCCCTAACAATCCTCAATTTAGCTGAATCTTTCAGCAGAATGCTTTATTGTTATGTATTTGTTAGTACTTTTTTTCTTAATTAGATGAAATTCCACTTGGAACACAATTGCCCAAAAGTGAAGATAGAATGTCCCTTTAACCTTGTTGGGTGTGCATTTGAGGTAACAAAACAGTACTTAAATAGCAGTTATTTAATATTTTGAAGTTGTACACATGTAAGTTTCACTGTAAAAGCCAAGTTCTTTTAGAAATTGCATTGACATCATTACCCAAACAGTTCAATTTAAATGCCCTTTGCACTTGCTGTTGTTGTCAGTTTTTCCTTGTAAGTTTACCTGATTACCTGAAATTCTCTCGGGAGCCTGAAAAATTATAATTCTTGAGTTCATACATAGTTAGACTAATTAAGTCTTCTCTATTTTTTTGTAGGGCTTACGATCTGATATTGGAAAACACCTTGCTAATGAGCATTTTCATGAAATCATGGATTTAATGAAAATTGTAGTGAGCTATCAAATGGAAGTCACAAGAAAAGATTCAAACCAAATAGAAGTCAAATCCAAGGGTGAAAATGAATCTCTTATTGACAGAAAAGAAAAACAGATTGAGCAGCTAGAAAGTGAGGTTGGTGCCCTCAAACAAACTGTTTGTGAGCTTTCCATACATACATACATACATACATACATAACTTTATTTGATAACGCAGGTTAAAATTTGCGCAACTTTACAGCTGATGTGGACCTGCCTAAACTAATTAGTCTATAATTATATAAAATACAGATATGATAAAATTTATAAGTTGAATAAATCAAGTAAACCATAAAGTTTTAGTAATAGTGAAAATTTGGTTTCATGTTTTGTATAACATTACCTCCCTTTTCAAAATTAATATTCATAACAGTTTGCTTGGATTGTTTTAAGTTATATTTAAAAATAGATAAATTTGGAGAATCTTTAACATTATCGGAAGTGCATTCCATGCTACTGCAGATCTATGAGCAAAGGACCTCTGACCCAATTCGGTTTTGGGCCTATTAAGTACAACATTCAGGGATTTCCTTAGGTTATAACTGTTAGAGTTCTTGGTCACCAAACAATTAATTTCCATACCCTAAATTATAATAAGCATTATATGTAATAGTTAAGATAATAGCTTATAAAAATACTCTAAAGGCATCCAGCCAACCTTAGAAAGTACATCATTATCCCCAAAACTATTTGGTATCTTATGAATTAGCCTGGCAGCCCTGATGTGAATCATTTCTAGATCTTTAAGCTTGGATCCAGACCCCCAAATTGCAATTCCATATAGAACACTTGGTATAACTATCCTATAGTAAAAAGTCTCCAAGATAGATGTACATAGGAAATTTATACGTCTCAACATTTTAACTTTGGCATTAAATACAGATCTAGCCAATGCAACATGCTGAGACCAAGAGAGTTTATCATCAATTGTAACCCCAAGGCAATTGGTGGAGGACACATACCGAATGGTGTCCATACCCCACTTCAGCTGTTTCAAAGGACCTATGAAGGGGTAGTACTTAAGACCATTGCCTCGGATTTACCTTCATGTAGAATCAATCTGTTACTAAGACACCAGGAATTAACCTGGTCCAAAACAGCCTGTAACCCTGTTGTTATTTCATCAACAGTATTCCCTACTACATATATTGTTGTGTCATCAGCATACATATAGACTTCTCCACTGGTAATAGATTCAGGGAGGTCATTAACATAAGATGCAAACAATCTTGGTCCTAGTAAGGATCCCTGAGGGACCCCAGCTCTAATGGGGATTCTATCAGATCTAGACCCACTTACACTAGTCCCTTGTACACGGTTGGAGAGATAGTCATTGATCCATTTCCACATATCACCTGCCAAGCCAACAGCCTTGAGTTTCTCAGTAAGAATACTGTGGTTGACACAATCAAAAGCTTTATGGAAATCAATGAATAAGACTCCAACCTTATGGCCTCTATCCAGGGCACTCCCCAGGACTCAGTGAGATGAAGGAGGAGGCTCTCCGTTGAATAGCCCCTCCTAAATCCCCATTGTCTATCTGTGAGAATGCCATTGGATAACATGTGATCATCAAGTGAGTCACACACTACCTTCTCAAGAAGCTTTCCTGGTGTACTAAGCAAGGATATAGGTCGGTAATTGTTAGGATCCAGCCTGTTCCCTTTCTTAAAAACAGGTGTAACTAATGACTCCTTCCATTGTTGAGGGAACTTACAACAGTCCATGCTTTTTTGAACACCTCTAGCAGACCCTGAATAGCAGAGCCCTGTGCCAATTTAAGATCTTTAGGAAAAATATTATCAGGGCCTACTGCTTTGTTTGGATTAATAGACTTCAAAACATCTCTAACTATATCCCAATTCAAAGAAAAATTCTCTATAGTGGGAGTAATTCTATTAATATAAAAAGTAGTATCTAAATGTACTGGATCCAAGTTCTTAGTAAGATCATGTGCAATATCAATAAAATAGTTATTAATCAAATTCGCTTTCTGCCTATCATCTGAAATAATAGTGTTATTAGAATCTTGTAGGGGACCAATTTTATCACTTTTGGTCTTACCAAGTATACGATTAGATATTCTCCAGAAATCTTTAGGTGAAGAAGATTCTTTAAATAGCCCAATCCAGTAAGAGGCCTCAGCTTTTCTGAGCATACTTCTAACAGCGTTTCTTTTAGCTCTATAGATGTCCCACTGAGGATTATCATGGGGTTTACCTTGAGCAGCTTTTAAACACTTATACCTTTGATTCATAGCCTTTCTGATTTCGGTATTGATCCAGGGAAGTGACTTGTGTCTGACCTTCACATTCCTTCGTTTGATGTTGGACTCTATAATGTCTTTAAACATGGTTTCCCATAAGTAAACACTGTCCTCAACATCCTCTACAGCAGACACAATATGCCATGGAGCTTCCTCTAAGGACCTCTGGAATTTTTCATTATCCATATCCTTATAGTTCCTTACTGTAATAAGCTTAGGCTTTGAATTACTCCTCCTTGTAGAAAAGGCAGCAAATATAAGATGATGGTCTGAAATGCCCAGGTCAATAGAACCAGCTAAGACATTTGATGCATGCAAATTAGGACTAACAATAATGAGGTCGATAAGTGACTTAGAGTTAGCTGTGATGCGCGTTGGTGATTCAATGACGTTAACGTAACCAAAACGCCTAAGAATTCTTTTCATTCTATTACAGTCATATGGCGCATCTTGATCTGTATCTGCCGTATTAGCTAAGAGATTACAGTTAAAATCACCTAATAATATGACATTCTTCCTCTTGATCCATATTTTATTAAGCAGGTCATGTAAGTCATCATAAAACGTGATTGATTTAGGTGGTCGGTATAGGCAGCCAAGTAAAGTAGACTGTGATCTTATGGTAATGTTAATCCATACAGCCTCCAAGTCCTGATGAATGTCCCACTTTAGGTTTTCAGAAATGTTCAAATTATCGCGATAATATATTACCACGCCGCCACCTTTCAAGCCATTTGATCTATCTCTTCTCACCGTGTTATAACCATATATTCTTATTAATTCATTTGATAGGTCTACGGTCAGGTGGGTCTCAGTAACGCCCAGGATGTCGAATTCAACCTCTTTTAATAGGAATTGAATTTCAGACAATTTATTAGTAAGACCATTGATATTTATGTGTCCAATCTTTAAGTTCTTGTTGTTGCCCATCGTAGTCTTTAACGTAGTGAAAACATCTTCGTCAGGTTCAGACACCACGTCATCGTCAAGGTTTAAGTCAAAAGAACTGGCATCGGCAAAGGGAAGAGCCCTCAGTTCACAGAAAGGGCAGTTCCAGAAGAAATGATCGAGGAGTTGAAGTTTGTTGTATTCACTTGGGTTAACTCTTCCACACTTTATGTGGCACCAACGGAGACAGATATCGCATTCTATTGCACGGTGAGTTTTGGCGACAGCTCTCTCGCAAATTGGGCACTTAGGGCTGTTAAGTGGGGGACCAGGATTAGGATTAATGTCACCACTAGTTGAGAGCCTTATCAAATTAAAGGTGCTGACTGAGTTGGGATACAGAGAAACCCGAGTTGAGAAGAACCTTCTACCGTGGGAGCGATGATACGTACCACGTGGAGGAAATGTAGCCAGAGTCGGGTAGAAAAAATCCTTTCGCCAATCCATGGCACACTCCGAAGCATCACTACGCATTTCATTGGCTTTTCCGAAGGCTTCGACATCGAAGAAGCAACAGTAAAAGCGAGACTGAACCAGAAAAGCATATAAAGTGACGGAACTCCAAGAAAAACGTCCAACCGCCATGGCTGACCACCCACCTCCAGCCACATGAACTGTTTAGAGCTCCAGCAAAAGAAAATGCACAGCTTGGTGCTTAAACAGGAAATCAAGTAAGTGTCCTGTTTTGTTCTCTTTTAAAAATGTTGTCAATTAACAGGTTTGTAATTCAGTTGTGTTTCTAAGTTGAGTGGAGCTAAATGTTCAAACTCTCAATCTCTTACACTCTGCATCGTATATCCCATCCTTATGCCACTTCAATCTTTGACACAGTGTTGACAGCTTTATTGGCTCTGTCAGCAGGCTTGTCAAAAAGAGCATGAGTAACCAGACTGTGATACAAAATAGGCAGCACTTAATACTTTATTTCCATCAATGTCATGCTTCCTTATTAAAAATTGAGCCACAAGCTAAGCATTCAAAATAGTTGTTGCATTTGTTAGAGTGGATGGTAAAATGTGGTGGTTGCCAGCTTATTTTGTCAACCCTGTCTATGGACAGTTATGTGATGGTCACCAAAATGTGATTTATTCCTGCTGTTTCTAATAATATTAGTTATTAGATTTATGAGTGTTAAGACCTGTAAAACATAAAATAATGAGAACCAACTGTCAATAAGTGCCAGGAAATGAACTTAATCCCCCCCCCCTAAAAGATTTGAACTGCTTAAATAATGATAATCTGCCTATTCCTGAAATGATAGGCTACATTGGGGAGAAGGGCATTCATGTGATGGAATGTACCTCTGGAAGATAGAAAACATTGCCAAATGTCACCAGGATGCTGTCAGTGGAGCAAGTACAGTGATGTATAGTCCAGGTTTTTACACCAGTCCATATGGGTACAAATTGTGCTTGAGGATTAACTTAAATGGTTTGGAGAATGGAGATGGTACATATGTGGCTTTGTTTGTTCATGTGATGAGAGGTGATTATGATGAGCACTTGGAATGGCCATTTTCAAAGGGTTTTAAGTTATCTATTAAGGATCAGTCTGATGTTGTGGAGTCCCGACACCATATCACAAAAAAAGTGGTGGCTGAGTCTGAACTGAGTGCATTTCAGAAACCTGTGGCTCCATTCAATACAATTGGTTTTGGTTACCCAGACTTTGCACCAACTGAGATTATTAATCAACCACAGTACACCAAGAAAAATACTTTGTTGGTGAAGTTTAAGATTACTGGTTAGCCTAGTCTGGTGCCTCTGTGACTAGCCTTGGAAAATCATGAACATTTAATCTCATGAAGAAAGATTCTGCAGGAACTGCAATTCATATTGCTATCAAATAGTAGACTGTATAATTTTCTGTACAAAGTAAAAATTTGATCACTCAGAATTTAAACACTGAGCTGGTTATTGATAGGTTTTACAAAATGTTTTTGAAGTGGCAAGTCACTTTAAATAATATTTGTATATGTGTGTACTGTTTTTCACTTATTTATCAAATGTACAGGAAATCACGCAGTATCTTGTTGTACATAGTGTGAAAAGTATATTGCATGAAGATAAATGTTTTACATAGAGTACCAGTATTTGTAAAATGTTAAGTGGTTACAACTGAAAAAAAGTAGTATTTGAACAAGAAATGTTGCAAAAATTGTTTAATTTTGTTGTTTATGTAAGAGTCAAAGGTTTTCCTTGCTGCCTATATTGAAAGTGGGTTAATTCATTACACTTTCTTCAAATCACACACAAGCAAGACATTTAACAAGGTTTGTTAAGCATTTAGGAAGCTCTTGCTCTTCTTTTGTGCCAAGCAGTGTCCTACATATATTCAAAACTATGAGCCAAGTTGTTCATTATTCCTTCAAATTATCACTTCTGTTCATTGGAAATGGCCAGGCAAGTCAAAGAAGATTCTCTAATTATTAGCCTTGTCATGCTAGACACATACCCCAACCAGATACTGTCCCTTCTGGTAGTGAAACCATTTAACCTGAAACACATTGTAGAGAGCAGTAAAAATAGTGTCTTTTCTTCATGAAGTACATCACCAGTTTCCATATTTAGTGTAACCATAGCAACCTAAGGCTTTGTTGCATTAAAAAGAACAGTGACTAAAACAAGGGGAGCAGAGGTTCACTTAGAGGTTCAGTTACCAAAGTCCTTTGACAATAAGGGTCCACCTGTGACAAGCACACTGTGTTAGGGTGGTGTTCTCAGTTTACTTGTGTTCCCATTAAATTTGAAAAGATCATGAGCTTAGTAAATGGGGTATAAGCAGTAAGCGTGTGATTAACCTCCACATAGATGCAAAGAAATTGACAGTTTGTGCAATAAATTACTCATGCACATTTACCACGAGAAATGGTTGAACTAAAGTTCCTTGACATGAATTGTCCATGCAGTCCCAATATGCCTGTGTTCCAAAATTTGGCTTATAAAACTCACAAACAAAGAATGCCAGTACTGGTCAGCAGTACTAGGATTTAGCATGTGTTTTGTTTGATCAATCATGGCTTTGCTAGTTGTATCCCTGTTTGATTAAAGCCTTAAATGAATTGGCCGTGCCTTGGTTCTTGTCTTATCTCCTTAACTGGCATGGCTGCAGCAGTGAGGAATACCACCTGATAGATGAGTAAGTTGACAGTTGGTACATTGACTTTTGTAGAGTTTTTGTGGAATCTTATTTTCATGCTATCTAGTATTGTTCCTTTCAACACTCTAAAAGTTGGATTATTAAAACAAGTAAGAAATTAGCTGGTTTTAATGTCCTCTGGGAAGTATAAAAGAAACTTGTTTTACATTGTAAAACAATACAATGAAAACTTAAAACAAGTGAAACAGTTCTTAAAATCAGCTTAATAAATCAATGTATTAGAAAGTAAAAGAATCCTGGAATTAAGCAAACCTGAACTGAAATTAAGTTTTAAATAATTTTTAATTACTTAAAGACACAACAAGCAAATATTGTAATAATATGATTGGCAGGCCAAAATAGAAATATACATTATGCACAATTGGTGCTAGAATCAATCCTGTCACAGAAAAAAGGAATATATTTACAGTAATCAATCACAATTGGTGTGTATACTCAGCTCTCAACCTTTACTACCCAGACAAATGTTAACCCTTTCTGTCTTAAATCCTTTAATAAACTAAAGGCAACATCAAGCATACTTCAAACATTGATCTTATTTTAATAAATGAAATGCTTAGCAATACAGCTAAGTATTTTTTAACTATTCTGTTATTACAACAAAGCAGATTTTAAACTAAACAAACAAAACCTTGTTATAACCATGTACACATATCCTTTCAAAACAAAATAGTGTCCTCACTGCAGTGATATACTCACTGTTAGAATGCAATAGGTTAGTTTTAAACTATGCTCTGATGGTCACAAACAAAAGGACAGGTTTGAGGCTGGGGAGAATGCAACAAAAGAAAATGGAAACTTTCCCCCTCGGCCTTGTCTCCATCATTTGCGAATTCAAAAGAAGCCTATTTACATAAATAAACACATTATTTCTTAACTTAACTGGAACTAGAAATTTGCAAATTGCAGAAGTTGTTCAGACGTTTTTATGCATAACAAATTCTAATATAAACTTTTCAACTAATTGAAACCCTAATCCTGTCATTTGTCATAAAGTAAAATATCAATGCCATGATGTCGAGACTTCCACAAGACCTACTTTATACCAGAACCTGATCCTTCAGTCACTTAACAATTGTGTACAGTTTTTCATCAACACAACAAAACATTTCTCAACTGAAGTGGTATTCTCTGTTAGAATACGCAGTACTAAGATGTATACTAATCCATTATACTGTAATTATTTCTTCAGTTATCTGGTAACAGCAACATGCACATTGTGCGATATCGTACAGACTTTTTTGCAGGACGAAGTCCTAATACAAATTCCTCTACAAACTGAAACACTAATTCCTGTCGCTTGTCATAGCTTAAGTTGAAAGTAAAATATACACCCATTAAAGCCAAGAGGGCATTTAAGAATGTAACATTGGAAACTTCAATAAAAACTGCTTTATCCACAACAACAAAAGCCTGATCTAACAATCCGTCATTATCCAATGCAACCCACAGGGTTGGTTGGTTTGTTTTGGTTTCTTTCTTGATAACTTCATGAACACTTGCTTTCACCTGTGATGGATGAACAAGATTATTGATAGATTCTACAGTAATTTAAAAATCAGTGGGTGAGCATTTATAAGTACATGTAACATATTTTTAGTGTACACTTTATCATAGGATATGACCACTGCGTAAAATGAACACCAACTTTTAGTCAATTTCTGGTATCTGAAACAAAAATGGCTTTCTTTTTTCTGCAATATACTGTATTTCAATTCAATTCAATTCAATTCAATTTTATTTGTTAGCAATACAATATTATCACAGACCTAGGTGACCCGCAATTAGCAAGCTATTCTAGGCGGGCCACCCTTCTAAAACAAGTGCTGTCTCTGCTAAGGATCACATACCGATACAATTAAACAAAGATAATCATTAATAAAAATACAATTGTTAAATAAAATAAAATAAAATTAAGTCCGTTGAATAATTAAATAATCAATTGCAAAGTTATCAAGATATATAATACAATTGAAACAAGACTTAAACGAAGAGTTACTTTATCAAGAGATATTTACAAATTTCAGAGCAGCGTATATCAACATTCATCTCCTCAATTTCCAAAAGTTTTAACAGGCGATTTTTAAGTTCACGCTTAAACGGGGTTCTGTTTTTAATACGAAGTTCTTTTGGGATGCTATTCCACAATCTTACACCTATTCTAGCAAAAGAAAATAAAAGTTGGTTAGTTCTAGACGCTTTAACGTACAGATCTTTAACGTATTTCAATCTTTTACAATATTCCAGTTCACTCTTAGTTCTGGAAAAACCATTCTTGATATTTATTTATTCTTTATAATAAAGCGTCTTTCATTTTGGTGTAGAGAAGGCCTTGATAAACAGCAGGTCATGTATCCAAAATGATTGCAGATTTGATTGATTCAAAATTAACTACTAGTAATTTGCAGTCACATGATGTGCTATTTTGTCAGGGTCTTTACCAACCAGGTAGCTTGCTGGAACTAACTCAAGAAAAACTTTATTCCCATGATCTGTATGTTTAATCACATACCGGTATTCATATTACAAGAGAAAAATTACTCTAATCACTGTCAGGGATTGAATGGTTAACTAAACATGTCTGAACTGAATATACCATACCTTAGGAAAAATGTTCAGTACTTAAGGATGCTCGTTAAAACTGTGCTGGAATGGCGCCAAGCCTAGATAACTGTATTTGTGCCACATGATTTACATTGCCGCCCTTGTAAATAAGCGCGGGGAACTATTGCAGCGAGCCTAAAATCTCAATAACATAACAAAGACCGAAACACTACTACTTTACCTTGTAAGCGATCGAGTATTTCATCTTGAAATCCTTTCTGCTTTAAGAAAACCGCTAAAGACTTCACAGTGTGTTCGCCCAGCACCTACGCCATCTTGGCTTCAGAAGCAACGGCAAGGGGGCGCGGTTACCTTTCCTTTGTTTTCTTCGCACATTCGCGCCTTTTTTGAGTCACGTGCGATGGTTCAAAGCCTGCGTGTGTGATTCAGAGATGGCTTGGCGATGTCTCTTCTGTGCGGGTTTTTCGGCTTTATTGTCAAATTATTTTACATTCGCGCCTTTTTCGGCTTTATTGTCAAATAATTATTATTATTATTATTATTATTACTCTATTGTCGAATTGTCAATATCTTATGTTTGGCACATGCATTCCCACTTTGAACAAAAGTTTGTTGCTGTTGTTCATAATATTTCCCTGTGGAATTCATGCTTGTGTTTGTCTTTCAACATACACTAAATAAAATGTATGATTAATTTTTGGGAGATTTGGTTTGCTGGAATCAATAGTACTCAGCCCTTAAAACGAACTCATAAACAAGAATCATAATCTTGAATTGAGATCATCATAACAAATTTCAAGCACTGCCTTAAAACAATACGTTGCTATCTTAAAACAATAATCCGGGTCTTAAAATGAAAATGAAATCAAGACTTGTGTTCTTAAAACAAGTCTTCCAGGCATTGATTTGATAATCCAACTTTTAGAGTGCAATTCTCATCCAAAGCAAAAAACTAAAAACGATATTCTTAGAAATGAAAGATCATAGCTCAAAAATCTTTGTTTCTATTTATTTCTCAATGGATTTTTTCTTACTATATAGATACTGATGAAATACCAGGATTTTTCCTTTTACTAAAAAATCACATCTTCATCGCGCGCTGTGAAGATACTATTTTTATCTTTCACATGTGAGGATATTGGTCTCGCCATGATTAACACGATTAGCCAATTACAAGAGAGCTTCCCGCTCAGGCGCGCAGCTGGTTCTTTTGAAATTTCATTCACAAAATGGCTTCGAGGTGCGTAGACGGTACAGTTACCAGTGACTTTCTCGATGAACTGCCAAATTTTCCCATCGATACTTTTTCCGAGCTTGAAGATCATTCAGGAAGATTTGCCGAAGTCTCGGAAAGTGATGTTAAAAAAAAAGTTGTCTTTTATGTAGGA